ATATATATGTATATATATATATATATATTTTGCTTGCACATGATTGGATGATGGAAGTCAGCAGAGCTTCAGCCCATTCACTAAGGTAAATTCCCTTGCAAAGTGAAGAGCCTATTGCCTTTAGTAAATGAACCCCACCTTGACCACAGGCCTCCTTGAAGAGTGATGTTTTTTTTGCTCTTGCCTCTCTGGTGTGCATTTACCCCATAAGCTAATTTTCTATGGCTACAGTTACACTGTTATTATTTCTTTATTGCCATCTTAACAAAAGTAATCACTGTGTTTTTGTCTTGTCTCCCTCTTGATTTTATTGACTTTCTCTGATTTTCTGATTTGCAGATGGAGCACAGTTGGAATATTCTGCAATAACCTTTAGTCATTCAGGACACTATTTAGCAAGTTATTCATCTGTTCCAGATCATCTGCTGACTATCTGGTAAGAAGACTTATTGAGTTTTGTACTTAGAGACCCTGTCAGTCTTTTAAAACATTTGTGATGCAAGTCCTCAGCAATAGAGAAGCTCTTTGATTTGGTTTCATGTAAAGTGTATTTCTAGTCAAACGTTTATTTTTTAGTTCTGAATAGCATTGGGACTAGTTAGAATCTTTGTCAGATTTGTAAACATTGTTTCAAATTGAGTGGCTGTCAAACATTTGCAACTGTTGTGTTCGTTTTGATATGCTTGGGGAGGAAACACCTAGGGGTCTATTCACAAAGCTGCCGAGGGCAGCCGAGTGAATGACCGATCAGAAGTGAAGTGAGCCGAACACTGTTCGGCTATTCACTTCAGGCTGGTACGGCTGATTTCAGCCGTATATCGGCTGAAATCAGCCGTACATCTGCTTGCTTCGTGTGGCTTCGGATCAGCCAAACATGCTCAGCATGTTCGGCTGACCCGAAGTGCAGAAGGAGTTCGACTCACAATGTCACAATGAGAAGCACTTCTTGCTAAGATGACAGCGCTGTCAGAATCGCTTTTCATTGAGTGCTCGCCATTTGTGACCAAAATTCTAGTTCCAGAGCGCAGGGTTGCACTAGATGGCAGTACGGATACAGACAGTACACCCACATCGGCGGAAGGGAAGAAGCGTTCGCCCGAAGCTAAGTATAGCAGAGGGGGGAGACGGGGCAAGATTGGAGATTCACCTTGGAAAATGGAATTTCCTTTTAAGCAAATTCAAATGCTGACTAAATCACTTACAATGAATGCTGCTTCTTTATGTTTAAACGTTTTAACTTCCTGCAGAATATATATCCTGATATCCTTTTTTAGGGTGGCTCCTTTCCCTTGGAGGGTCCTATGGAGCCAACCTTGCGTGTGCTAGTAAGCTTTGTGTCTCCACAAACACACAAGTACAGCAAGACAATCCTCTCCCCTATACCCCCTCTCTGTCCCCGCTCCCTTCTCCTCTGTCCTTCTACCTTCTTCAAACTATTAGATGGATAAATGCTGTCCCTTGTAATCTTGTACTGAGCCGAGAGAGTTGGAGACAACTGTTTGGAAACAAGATGACTGTAAGCAATGTATATTTGTTTGTGTTTGATGCTACTTTAAAGCATATCTGTGATCTGCGGGAAGGGATAAAGTCCTCAAATGACAGCAGGATGTGCTAGGCCGGCCATAACTGTTAGAATTTTGTTTGAACGTTTGTTGGAAAACAGTCATCAGAGCATGCAATCTTGCCATCACTGAGTCAACTAATTTAATACAAAAGTCCTTCAAAATTTAGTCCAGCTGTTTCAATGGATTCCCAGGTGTATTAAACAGGTTTGTTCTGTGCCTAGCTCATGTGCATGACAATATGTAGGATTATTACCATACACAAATCTGATTCACGGGTTCATTCTCAGTGTTTTTCACAGAGTCTGTTCTCAGTGTTTTTACATAACAAGTGTACTTTGTTGATGAAAGGGTTTATATGTAACTTTTTGTATTCTTATAATTCCAGGAACTGGCAGGAAGGCATTTCTCTATGCAGCAAGTCACATTACAGCAGCGGTTTTACCAGTTTGACCTTTAACCCTAACGATTGGCATCAGTTGTGCCTGTCTGGTGAGGAATGTGTTACTGTGTGGAACATTGAAGTATGTGACACAGTGTATCACCTAAAAGACAAGTAAGACTCCCGCTTCCCGCTAAGTTAAGCTAGTTATATTTTGGCATTAAAGGGGTAATGTATTGAAGAACCCCGGGGGGAAAAAATCCTAACCCCTGCAGTGGGGCTACCCTGGCACTGCAAGGGCTAAGTGCTTGTTTGTGTCTAGGTAAAAAAAAAAAATATATAATCACCCGAAATTTGGATCCAGCCGGCTGTGACAGCGCTCCCTTATGCATGTTTCATCCTCTGCTCCAGTGAAGTTATGTCCCTTGGCATCTTCACGTCCTATACATAGTATAGAACATGATTGTGACGGACCCCCGTACTCAGGATGAGTATGTCCGCCGCTGTCTTCTTCCTTGCTGAGGAGATCTTGCAAATTGAAGATCCTTAGCTCCCAGTTTCCCCAGTCACTAGCCAAGGCTTGAGTGTAGGTGAAACAAACTCTGCTTTATTGAGCAACTGCACACACTTTTATACAGCAAGTGATGAAATCAGAATATAATCCCATCACATCCCCCCTCCCCTCCCAGACAATCGGTCTGCTCAACACCACAGGTGTCCACCTGCTAACGAACTCCAGACAGCCATAGCATGAGCCTGGCCAGAATGTCATTGTTCGGAGCTCCCTCAGAGAACAATGGGAGATAACGAGGGATGGTGCTGATAGTCTTTCCATAACCAGGTCACACAGTATAACGCACTCAAACATAACTCAACACCAATACACATTTATTTTATAAACTCATCACCGTGTCGTCACAATGATGACTCAAGGATTCTTAGACTGCTGCAGCTGAGTGGGAGAGTGACTTGTTTTTTAAGGTGCTTGGTCTGGGACTGGTTTTCTCATCCTGCAACTAGTGTTAGCACCATATTTCTTTGGAACCGGACACAAATAGGTTACACAGGCTGAATAAATACAGTCAAGGCACTATCTGAATCTATGTAATTTATATTTGTCATATTTTGTAGCAGTGGTTCTCAACCTGTGTAACCTCAGGACCCACCTTTGTTCTCGAGTCGCACTACAGTGGAATGCACATTAGGGTACCGCCCGTTCCGGTGCGAGCGTACAAACTGTGTGCTGTAAGTGAGTTTGGGGTACCATTCAAATCAATGGCAACGCAACACACCTCCCACACCAGAATGCACTGTAGGTGCAATTGCATGGTACAGTGCGTTAATCGCACGGGACTGTGATTAACGCACTGTACACAGGCCCTCAAAAACACTGACATACAGACACAATCTCACACACTTGCATACTCCAAAAATATTTTTATATTTTTTAAGGTCCACCCAGTCTCCCTACCGTACAAGAACTGGAGTGGATCCCCAACCTTGGGTCCAGTGTGGGCTGCTGTGTTGTGACGGAGCTCCATCCATATGTGCATTGCTTATACAGCTCCATCGTGTGCCCTGTAGAGGTGCAGAGAGCCAGAATGTGACATCACTCCGGTCCAGGCACTTCTATAGGGCCCTTGAGGGAGTTGTAAGCAATGCACATATGGATGGAGCTCCCTCGTGGCCATAGCCCCATCATATCCCACCTTAAGCTGGCACAGCACCGGGCTGCATATTTTGAATTGCTAGTGAGTCTGAGAACTGACAGTGCTGCGCTAGGGGGATGCAGAGGAGCCTCTCACCTAGAAAAGTGGAAAGCACGCGGCGACCCACTGAAAAGTGGGTCACGACCCACCAGTTGAGGACCAAGGTTTTAAAGGAATAAGGACCCTGCCTGGCTCACCCTCCAAGTTGGATTTCAGAACACTGACGCACTGGCTGTCACAGTGTCCTACGCCACTCCATCTGATAGGGGGGGCCTTTAATTCCACAATGTCACTGTTGGAGGACAGGAAATGGATCTCGGGGAACGCGCCCAAAACAAGGGGACCTGAGTTCGCTAGGCAGTCATCCCTAGCCACTATGGCCTCTGCTCTTAACTTACACGATATATGGCGGTTGGCCCACCCGGCGGACACCGACTTTACGCACTTTTCTCCAATACATGACTGCCTAGCACGCTTGGACTATTTTTTCTGTACTCCTGAACTCTTGCCCAAGGCAAGGGACTCGGAGATACATGATGTGGTGATCTCGGACCACACCCCTATTACCTTGTCGATTGAAATCGTGCCGCATAAACCAAAAGTATACCTATGGCGGTTCCCGGCATTCCTACATGCTAACGAGGACTTTCGCCACTTCCTGGTGACATCGTGGAGGGACTATGTCTCCTTTAATCAACAACATGAGGCCACTCCAGTCCTTTTCTGGGAAGCAGCTAAAGCGTATATGAGAGGGAGAATCATTTCATATACGTCGGCATATAAAAAGAATACCTTGCAGTCCTATCGACTGGCTAGTGCCCGTCTGAGGAACGCCAAGGTGTCCCTTAAGTCCAACGCCACCCCTCATAACAGGCAAGACTGGGAGTCGGCCAAACAACAATTTGATCTCTGGGCACAGAGACAGGACGCAATTTACTCTGCCCACCTGGATCTCTCCATTCACAAATATGGCAACAAGGCAGGCAAATTGATGGCACGTCTTGTGAGGGGGAGATTTCGCCCTAGTCATATTCCGTCCCTTTAACACCCCTCAGGGCAGATAGAACAGGACCCATTGCGCATAAATCAGATCTTAGAAGATTTCTATAGAACTCTGTATTTCAAGGATGAGCATGATGGGGTGGCAGCGGAACGATTCCTCTAAACCATGGGTCTTCTGAATTTGTCACCAGACCAACTCTCTTCGCTGAATGCCGATATTTCACGGGAGGAGATATTGTCAGTTATCAAACAAATGGGCAGGGGCAAAGCCCCAGGCCCTGACAGATATTCTGCCGAGTTTTACAAACTACTGCACCTGGAGGTGACACATTCCCTCCACTCCTTATTTAACTCAGTATGGGAAGGAGGTCCCTATCCGGCGGCCGGAAAAGAAGCATATATCAAGCTGATTCCCAAGGAAGGAAAGGAGCCCACAGACCCAGGCTCATATACGCCTATCTCCCTACTAAACGTAGATGCTAAAATTCTGTCTAAAATAGTGGCCACTCGCTTGGTAGATATACTGCCATCCCTGGTGCAGCCAGCGCAGGTTGGCTTTGTCAAAGGACACTCTGGTGTAACTAACATACGCAAGGTCTTGATGGTATTGGAGTTAGCGCAGACCCTCCCATTAGAGGATTCGGCCATAATCACCCTGGACGCCGAAAAGGCGTTCAATAGTATTGACCTGCGCTAGCTGTTCCTGGTATTGACTAAGTTTGGGTTCCAGGGCCAAATCGTGTCCTTCCTCAGACAGATGTACACCTCACCGATGTACACCTCACATGCGGCGTTGTCCGGACCCCTAAATTTGACGAAGGGCACACGTCAGGGATGCCCTCTGTCACCTCTGCTCTTCGACCTATCCTTTGAACCTTTGGCAGCACATATCCTAGGTTCCTCTGACCTCCATGGCATTAAGGTTGGGAAATCCGAATTGCGTATTGCTCTGTTTGCGGATGATATACTACTTTTCACATCCCAACCCAATGTGGATGTGGAGGCTGTTCGGACACTGTTTGCGCACTTTAGGAAATTTTCGGGTATCCGCATAAACTTTACAAAGAGTGAGATTCTTCCCCTTTCAGGGGCAAGGATAGTGCAGGGAGATGGCCCTGTGCATCCCAGAGTAGCCCCTACAGCTATTACTTATCTGGGTCTGAAAATCGGGAAAAGGCCATCCTCTTTATATTATCTGAATTACCCCCCCTTAATTGACAGGATAATCAGAGAACTCGAAATGTGGGGGAGTCTCCCCCTCTCGCTCTTCGGGAGAATACACTTGCTAAAAATGATTAGCTTCGTCAAACTCCTGTACCCTATGCAAAATCTTCCTCTTCTGCTGAAGAGTGGGGATATTAAGCGACTTATGAGAGCGATGTCGCAATTCATCTGGCAGTCTAAAAGGCCACGAATCTCTCACAGGAAGCTGTGGTTGCCGAAGAGCGTGGGGGGTGCTAACTTCCCGAATATTAAACTGTATAACATTGCTTGTTTGCTAAGACATGCACTGGATTGGCTGTCAGGTAGCTCAGAGTACTCAAATACGGACCTGGAAGTGGAATTAGTCGCACCGTGGGACTTAAAAGCGATTCTCCATTGTAGAATCCCCCTTCTGCCCCAAGGCATTCGACAAAACGCTCTATACAGGGACACCATCATTGCATGGCGAGAAACTCGGAAGGCACTGCAACTGTCTCCACAACCCATTTTTAGGTAACCCTATGTTCTCGCAAGGTAGCGATTATGCAGTTTTCCATAAATGGAGAGACAAAGGGTTAATTAAATGGTGACAATTATTCCATCCACGCACTGGTCAACATCTCTCTTTTAGGGAAGTAAGTCTAGAATTTCGCTTACCTGAAACTGATTTCCTGCACTTCTTACAACTTAAATCAGCCTGGAAGGAATATGGAGGAACACCCCAGGCATTCTTCTCTTCTTCCTTCCTGGGCATACTCATCTCAGACAGATCATACTCTGTCTCGACAACATACACCAGGCTCCAGACGCTATTCCTCAAGCCTCTCTCCTCCTCAAATGTGCGGGACTGGGCAAGGGACTTTGATGACCCAGATATGCTGTACAAAATCCTCAGAGGCTATAACACAATCAGGGCTGTAACAACAAACGAAATATAAAGGGAGACCCAGTTCAAGATACTTCACAGGGCCTATGCTCCGTTCCAATCATCATAAGAATTACTCAAGGTCACATGAGTTTTCAAACAATGGTGGGGGAAAGGGTTGAGCAGCACGATTGGTACATTTGTTTTTGGTCCTGGGATCTATATGCAAAATACCCCCCTCCGCAGTGGTCTAAGGTCCCGTAAATCATCACATCTATACACTGTGCATAAGACATGAGGACACTACAGAAGAGTCTGATGCTACAGCCAGGGCCTAGGAAGAGCACAGCTCTCCCCTCTCACTGTCTACAGTCTACACGGAGCGGCAGGGTTATCTTTAACCCTGCAGTGAGGAGACGGACTCGGCGGCGGAGCTCGGAGGACGGAGCCAGCGAGGAGAAAGGTAAGTGCATGGGGCAGAGGCTGCAGACTGTTTACATGTGATCTCGGTGACATCGCCGAGTTCACATGTAAATGCAAAATCGGCTGCCTCACTCTACATTTAGTCCTGCTTGTGCAAAGCAGGACTAAATGTAGAGAGGGCAACTTACCGCCCGGCGCCCGCAACTTCCCCACAAGGACACCGCTGCCGCCCCTCTGCGCCCTGCCCCCCCGAGGCCAGGCCTCGTTGGCCTTGTGGGCAATCCGGGCCTGGCTATAGCAGAGGAGGAGACGGGCTGAAGGAAGCGTTGGGACCTGGCTCGGTGCTTTGGGTGAGTATAAGATTGTTATTTTAGCACCCAGACACAAACGAGCACTTAACCCTTGCAGAACGGGTGTAGCACCACTGCAAAGGTTAAGATAAAGTTTTCCTAGAGTTCTTCTTTAATGCATCATCAAAATGTATTTATTTAAAGGCCAGCCATGTAACTACCTGAATTTAAGTTGGTATCAGTCACTAGCAGTTCGCTATACAGCAGAGCTTTGACTGGGAGAAAAAGAAGCAGTGCAAGGAGACAGTTGTGCTGCAGTGTTTATGTGCTGACAAGGGATATTCTGATAGGAGAGAGCAAAGTGAAAGAGAATATAAATATCAGTCTTTTGCTTCTCCTTTCATTGTGGAGTCACAGGCCCAGGAAGGGACAAGACCTGTAGGTGTTACTTAACTGGAGCAGAGAAAAATCAGGTCTTCTGGCCTACCAGACAGGGCTATGCTGTGTAGTAGAGCTGTGTAAATCATAGAACTGGATGACCAGAAATACAAATCCATCCATGTATTTAACCATTTGCCTAAAGATTATCTCTAACCGTAACAAAAATTTCACTCAGTTTATAACATTGCATTTAATCTACAGATCGGTCAAACTTCCCAATGAAGATGGTACAGTAACTGTAGAGAATGAATACTTTACTTCTCTGACTGACACTGAACTCTCATACCTTGGACCTCAGATGCCAGTACCAGCCATTGCTGGCTTATTGGGTGATGAAGCAGAAGTTTTCATGGTAAGTGGTTACATCCATAACAGTGGTGTCCTATGGAGCATAATGGGGGCGGTTCAATATAATATTTGGTGGTATAGTCCTTTAAAAAATCCTGCTCCTAATTCATGAAAGCCCTGCGTCAGTTTTCTTAAGCGTTCTGACATTTACAACAGATTCTTCTTTGCAACCCTTCCACAATATGCCAGTTCATAGATAAGGAAATTGGAGGTTATTGGAAATTAAGGCCAGTTCTAAGTTGGCATACAGACGAAAGCCAGAGTGCACAGAGTGGGGCTGCGGTGTAGAAAAGAGCAAGACATGTTTGCGTGCACCCCCCCTCGCCACTAGAACGCTGTCAGAAGCACAGAATACCTGGTTGCTAGGACACTGTCAGCCACACAGTGTCATTGGTTGCTAAGACACTGTGGGTTGCACAGCCAACAGCATCCTTTAACTTCACATTATTTTGTACATTTTTGAAGTATTTAATTGTCAATTCCCATGGAATTTAAAAGTCAGACTTAAAATGTATGTATTGTCAAGATTTTTTTTTCCTGGTTTTGGATAGAGTAGGGAAGGGTTCAAACCCCCATAAGTTTTTTACTTTTTCTGTCTGTGTCCCATTGGGGAACTTTCCTTCATGTTTCTGCCCTGGAGAAGCAATAGGATATTAGAGGAAATCTTTGCAAAAGGAGGGGAATTCCTTCTTAGGCCTCATGAAAACAGGCATCTCTGGAATCCTGCGGCAAGAACCGACAGATTCTTGCGGTAGGAATCCCAGGTTCGAGTTGGTAGAGAAGCTTGTCCCAGGAGGCAAACTCTCTGCATCCAGGGACGCACATCTCTTCCGATCCGCAGGTAATCATACCATGTACAATTACATGCGGACAGCCACAGATTCAGCCATTGTCACTCTGTCATGAACTTGAATGGGCACAGCGGCTCCATTTGTATGGACACACCTGGGATTCCTGCTTCAACAATTCGCTGATTCTTGCTGCAGGAATCCCTAGAGACTTGTGTGCATGAGGCGTTAGACTGGAACTGGCGTTATCTTTGGATGATTCCCCCTACTTGTGAATGGAGCTGGATTGCTGGGTCTCATGAATTCCTCTTTGAGACCCATGCCAATCAGGCTGGAGGCGCTGTACAATACAGTGACAAATGCCACTGCCCAAATCTGTTCATAGACAGTTCACATGTAATCGCACATGCTGAAATTACCTGTGGATGACTGCACCTGGCCATTTGCAAATAGGCCGGACTTAGCGATCCAGGCCTCATTCGCAAGTGTGTATGGGGCGTTAGAGCTCCTTCAGGAACATAGAACCATTAAAACAATTCAGTCCTGTTTTAAAAGTTAAAGTACATTACTACAAATATCCTTCTTTATGTATTAACAACATGCATTAAAAAAGAAAGTTTAATATTTTATTGATATTAATATTTTGTTCTTCACACAGCCTCTTTCTGTCCCTCTTCCCCATTGCGGGCAGCTTGTCCCAAGCCCAGCAGCTGGAGTTTTGACAGACAGTGAGGCTCCTGCTCAGAACTAGGGCAGCAACCAACTAATCGATTAGTCGATAATAATCGATAATGAGAATATTTGTCAACTATTCTCATTATCGATTAGTTTGTTGGATCCCTTGGCTATCTTCTTCATGCTGGGAGTAGGGCACAGCAAGCAGTGGGCGAGTGCAATAGCCAGCCTGGTATTGGCTATTGCAATTTGAAATGGCCAAAAGCAGGCTAGCTATTCCACCGGCCCACTACCTGATGTATTTTTATTCAGCTGCCGTCTGCAGAGTCTTGCCACTGGCAGCTGTCATTCCATGGCTGAAGCTATTCCAGCACCATGTGCTTACAATACAATTATTTTAAAAAAATGATAAAAGGTGGGAAAAAAGTCATTTTCAATTTCCGCCTGACAAATTCTGCTGCGGGGGGTGCGTTGCACTGCATTTGTGTATTTCATTTTAAATTAAGGATGGTATTAATTAATCGGAAAAAAAATCGTCCAACTAATCGATTATGAAAATAGTAATTAGTTGCAGCCATACTCAGAGCTGCTGTCATTCATCAGAGCAGGGCTGGGCGAGGGATGTAATGGCAAATCTGACTATGGAAGAACAGGTATGCCATACATCGACATCGCCACCATATTTCCAAGCAGCAAGCCCAGGGGTGCAAACTGACTGCGCCAGCACAGATCTGCTGGTTTTGGTCTCTGGATACGCTTTAAGAGAAAGGACCTGGTTAGCTGTGTCTGCTTGGTGCTTCTAGTCAGAGTGAAAAAAAAAGACATTTATTCAAATGTTTAAATTTTTATTATAACGTTGGTACCTTTGTTCCTAAAACAATCAGTTAAAGCTTTTTTTGGTACAGTGTGTCAAAGCATAAGAGTATTGTCTAAAATTATATATTTTGTTTTGTATTCAAGCCAAAAGAATTGCGAAAAACAGTTGTTAAGCCCAATACACATTGCTGGAGTACAACGTCAGACTTCTATGTGGGCTGTAAAGGAGGACAGCTACTGTCCATTAACCCAGAGACACAGATGGTTACCGTCCTTAGCCCAATGGATTGGCAAACAGCTGGTAAAATGCATCATTTCTTGACTTTACTGTTTCCTATCATTCAAATTAAATGTATTTGATGCTCTGCCAATATACCCTCTCTGATTTTTTTTTTTTTTTAAAGAAAGGTTGCGGAGAAAGTACACTCTAATAACTCTGTTGTCTCAACAGAGTATAATTACAGGAAGTCCTGTGATATGGGCCCTTTAAAGGATTTGACAAATATAAGAATAACTCCTTGTAAGAAAGCTTAATCAGATGCTTATTATTATTATTATAATACAGGATTTATATAGCGCCAACAGTTTGCACATCACTTATATAAGGAAATCATTACAGTTACAATACAATTCAAGACAAAATGGTTAGGACGGCCGTGCCTATGAGAGTTACAAATTTAATATCTTAAGAATGCCAGTAACAACATTTTTTTCCCTCCTTTTTATTTTAGACTCCTATTTGGCTAAATGCTTTTATAGTTTGACTGATATTAATTTAAATTTCCCGCCCTCTCATTAAGAGGCCGTGACATCGATTTGATGACGCACATGTTTTTATCTACTGCGCATGTGCAGTCCATTCTGGTTTCCTCAGAGTGATGTAGTGCGTTTCTATTAGTAATGAAGGTGGACGGAGTGGTTTTGACTTCCTGTGTTTCTTATTTACCCTCAATTTTATGTCGCTTATTGGGGAGAACAGAGATTTCCTGTTTTTTACTATTACACAACCATTCTCAGCAGACAACTTTTGGATGGGGGTGAATGGTCTCTCCATCCAGTTAAAGCGACCATCAGCTTATAGTAGAACTGTAAATGCCAGGTCCGTACGACGTACTGAGCTGGCCAGCTGGAAGCACTTTTGTAGCTCCGTACGACGTACGTCCTTGGCAGCGAAAGGGTTAATAGGTTTGTCACATCTGGGGAATGCCAGATCAAGATTTTCTGCCTGTTTGTCACAACAAGAAGGTGGGCGGATTTGTGTCCAGAGTTAGAGATCCAAGGGTGGATGCAGTGAATGCCTTACTAGCTCCTTGGGATCAGTACACACTAATGTATGTTTTTCCTCCACTAACTGTGTTACATAGCAGGATAGAACACAAAGGAATTTCATTATTCTCATCACTCCAGATTGGCCTCGCAGGGTCCTCATATGTTGGCAGATGATCCCTGGCTTCTTCCAGATCAGCCAGATCTGTTATCTCAGAGCCCAATTTTTCAACCTGCTTCTGGGTTGCTGGCTTTAAATGTCCTTGATACAAAGTTGATGTTTCTGCCTCCGCTGATGTTAGTTTTGGCAGAAAGGTTTTTCAGGCAACTGTTTAAGTGTACTTTGACAGTTCATATTTTTGTTGAGCTAGTGCTCTTGTTGTTGTGGTGCCTGCCCCTCCTGTTTTGGACTGCTTTTGAACATCCCTACGTCTCAGAATTCTTCAGAGCTGTGTCCCTCAATGGACAATAGAGAAAATAGGATTATTTTGTTATTCTGTTTTCTCAGAGTCCATTGAGAGACACAGCTCCCTCCCCTCAGGTTCCTTTGACTGCTTGCTACAACTGGCGGGTGTGAGGTGGGAGGGGTTGTGTCCTTAAAGTGACAGGCTTTTTATTTGTTTGCCTAATGTCAATTTCTGCTAGAGGCAGCAGCATAACTCTACATCTCAGAATTCCTCCGAGTTGTGTTTCTCAATAAAATCCACCTTCATTAGACAGCTCTATCCAACATCTAGTTAGACAAGGCAAGTGCATCTCCTGCTTTGCTATGGCTTTAGCTAACCTATAATGCTCTGGGAACCCTTTGTCATATATTACATGTTTATTTATACAATTTACAGAATAAAATATATAAAACATCAGTTAAAAATACATACACTAAAATAATAAGTATGAAGGTAAATTTATTAACCTGTATTTGTGGGAGGGTATTATGGCTATTTAAACTCCTCCTCTTCCCTTTTGTGCCTGATCTTGTAGGGTAAGCGTTTGTCCCCACCCACCCATCCCTCTTCATAACTTAAAATTCCATCACCCTTTCATTTGGTATGCCCCCTTTTAGGCGTACCTAACAGCGTGGCCACAGGCACATCTCAGGCCACATTAGCTTCTTGGCACAACTCAGCCCACACTATATCTATTATACGGTATATATACCCGACCATAATATAAAATTAATCCAAAATGCAAGGTTTTAGCTTTTTGACAGCCTCATTTTTGCACAATTCTGTATGTATGCATTTTAGTTACCTTTAAAGATATTGCACTTTGTCTTACAGAAACTCTGTTTTTCTTCAGGTGAATTGCCCAGAGGTACTGTTATAAAAGGAAGCATAGACACTATGGCACTTTACAAAGATGGACTCTACTTAGCTGGAAATGTAAGAGTTTTACCTAAATATGTTTTAATGCCGTCTCTAAGTTTTAAGAGACCCTCCCCCACACATCCCTATTTAAAAAAATTTAATGTATACATACTGTACCTTAAACACTGCAACCTTCTGGCTGGTTAACTGATACCACAGGTCTCCTCCTCTGACATCAGCAGTGGTTTCTTCCTCCTATATGACATAATGAGGTGCCAGCGATGTTCTGTGCAGTAGTATTGTTGGCTCAGGCCAGCATGATTATGCACCGCCATTAGGTATATCTATGATGGCCTGGGTCCACATCAAGTGGGTCAGATGAAGCTGGGTGTCATTCAGCCTGGAGGTCCTCTTCAGATATTTCCTCAATGAAAAAAAAAATCAACAGGTGTCCTGAATGGTCTTTAAGCTGTGTGAAGCAATATTTCTTCAAACATTTCTTAATTAGAGTTAGGGCCAGTGTTGACAGGCTTTGTTGTTGTCAGAACTGCTTCTCTCCCTATTGGGAACAAAAAGCACCCAGATGCGGGTATGAAGAAGGTCAACTACAGGTCAAATGCTCCTGTCAATAAATTCTGAATGACCTCAGAAGCATCTCAAACTGATGTCAGAGGCAAGCTTTTCATGACCGCCCCCAAGCTTGTCAACAGAGGCCCTATAACTGTCATGAGAGGAACACAGGAATTGTCAATGTTGGCCTGTGCAGTCCAACATTGACAATTCCTGTGTTCCTCTCATGAAGAAGCTATTTTTGTGGCCTTGTCTAGCTTCAATATTTTATGAGCCAGTGACCCAAAACAAGTATGCAGATCAGGAAAGTTAGAGCAAAGTCAGAACTCCTGATCTGCATACATGTCTTAAATTAGCCATACAAACAATTGAATACAGAGGGTCACTTTAAGAAGCAAGCAGCTGGCCTCTTCAGAATGAGAGGTCAGCAATGGCAGCTTCCACATTTGTTTATTGACAGGTTCCCTTTATCCAGTTATATATACTTTATTGACATGATTCATTTTTGTATATTTTCTAGGAAGGCATTTTGAGGTCATGTTCCATAAAGGGTTCAGAATGTAAACTTGAAGAATGCTGGGATGCAAAAGAACCCATTAAAAGTATCAGTTTCTCTACCAATTACAGGATGCTTTCCATTGCAACAAGCAAGGTAAATTAGACATTGAGAGGATTACCTGCACCAACATTTAATAATCACACAGAATTTAGCAACTCCATACAAATTGGAAACATGGCCAGCTTTTGCACAAACACTTGTCTGAAATATAGAGGACTTATACACCTAGTACAGAGGTTCATTTATATAAACATTATTCAAAGAAACATAGACATTTGCTATTTTTATTTGACTGCGGTCGACTTGTAATTTATCTACCGGTACTATTTAGGATAAAAGAGGCTACCAGAGGCAGTTGGTAATATTCTTATATGGGATTTCTGGGTGGGAAGTTAGCTGTGTGTGGGAAGTCCATCTGCCAGTTGTCTATGCCTTGGATGAAAAAAAAGCAGGAACATGAAATTCTGCCCTAGTCAGGATTTGAACTACCCGCTGCCAGACTTTTGATTCCTCCCTGATGGTTGATGTATGCTACCGCATTGTCCAACTTAATCCAGATTGGATGACCAGCAGGATGGGGATGCCATGAGAGTGCAATAGGGCTAATACTAGGACTAACACTTTGGTGAACACATGAGGTACAGACGAGAGGCTGAAATGCAGGGCTATGACATGGTACTGTAGGGGCCCCTCAGCAAGGCGTAGGAAATGTCGATGTGCTGGAAAGATGGCAAGGAGCAGGTAAGCATCCTTGATGTCCACAAATGTCACAAAGTCTCTTTGGTAAAGGGAAGCAATGGCAGATAGATTCCATGCAGAATTTCTGGATTCAGTTGATATTCAGAATTTGAGAATCAAGTGAATGCCCCTTTTGTGTATGAGAATGGTGAACAAGTTGGAGAAAAAACCCTGAAGACGTTCCACCACAGGAACTGGGGCAATGACACCTTAACCAGTTGCCGTCCGCCTGTTGAAAAAAAACGGACGGACGGCACTGCTGCATTAGCGGGTTGCCATCTCCAGACAGCATTTTTTTTCTGCTAGTGCGCGCGTTATCTCTGCTTCATCAGATTCTTTTGGGGTCCCCAGGTGACATTAGGGGTCCTAGAGACCCCTAATGTCTCCACTGTCAGTGTACCTGTGCTATTACATAGGGGGATTGTATCCACCTATGTAATAGCAATAACAATAAGTGCAAAAAAAATAAATATATAAATAAAAAAAGTTAAAAGAATAAAAGTCACATATAAAAAAAGTAAAAAAAAACCCCCAAAATGTTTAAGTCCCCCACCCTCAGGTTTACGTACATATAAACGTAAATACGCGTCCGGTGCACCAGTGTGCGAAAACGACAATTGCGCTACACACGTTACATATCGCCGCGAACGTCGCAGTGAGAGCAATCATTTTAGGGCCATCAATCACTGATAACTCTAAACGTATTAAAAAGCTTTTAAAGCGTCGCCTATGGCCAATTTTGGGTATTATCGTTTTTTGTGGTTTCGTGCGCGCACGCAATTTTAAGGCTTGACATGTATGGTGTCTTTTTACCCGACGTAATAAATGTTTTATCATTTAATATTGGGGAAACTGTTTTTTTTTCCGGTAATTTTTCCCTAATATAGTAAAAAATTAAAACCGCAGTGGTGATTAAATACCACCAAAAGAAACCTCTATCTGTCCCCAAAAAATGGTATAAACTGTATTTCAGTACAGCGTTGCATGACGGAATAAATGTCAGTCAAAGTACCGCAGCGCTAAATACTGAAAAATGGCCTGGTCCCCTGCCTGTATCATACCCACTAAAGAGCACCTAATGGCTATGAAGAAACGCTGGAAGGGAATCCACTGGCCAGTCAGTGACAGGGTGAGGAAATTTAACATCTGCACCAGGGTAGGAGAAGCTGCAGGGTAACAATACAAGAATCCATAACAACTTTCATAAATTAACCAGGAAAGCCTTTAAACCGAAACCCCCCAAATAATATTCGGCTTAGAACTATGAGGTGAGTGGAAATCACTCATCTCATAGTTCTCCTTTAATAGTTATCAACATCTAGGGTAAGAGATCTGCAGATAAAAATCTTCACCAGCATCTTAATACTATCCAGAGGAGAATCTATGAGCTTGTGTTGGTAAACCCAATTAGGAAGCTGTAATAGAAGTGTGCGGTTTCCAGCAGGGGGCACTGAGAGATCACTGTAGGCATGAATGCAATAATGAGCTGCCTGTAACATGGCTACTTTACCACTTGCTTGCAGCAAAACATTACCTCACTGTATTACTATGTCACAAGACCAGATAGCTCCTCCCAACAACTTTTACGCATAGAAGGAACGAGGACATTGTATTCATGCATATCACTAATCCTCCCCCCCTTCCCCAGCATTAGCCTACGTCAATCACTCACATAAATTATTCTCCGGAGACGGGGTCAGGTGAAAACTAGCTCAGCTCTGGACTGATAAATTCATAAGGAATCCCCACTGCCCATTGTAGGCCTGTTGCAGAGAGAATGTCAGTCTAGAAAATGAACTGGGAAGAGCTGCCTTTTGTGATCTCCATGTCTGACATGAAGTCACCAGTAGCTGTAGGTGACTGGAGACATGTACAGAAATTTAGGGCTGTCACAGAGTTAAAAAAACAACTTGGAAAACTGTGTTTCTTGGATTTAACTAATCCGGCTTTAATCCACCAACTGCTGTTGATAGCAAAAAAAATCTTTCAAATGAACAGAGAATAGCAGAGCTGAGGAAAATACATCCACTCTCTTGAGGACACTAGTGAATAACTGTTGTCCATTTCACCTAGAGACAACAGTATAACCTGACATTCTTAAAATTCCTATGCCCCTTAGTGGCCGAGAAAGAAAATAGCTTTTTTAAATTTTAAATCAAAATTCAAGGAATTTTCCCCATGCTCAGCAATAATGTTTGAGGGTCCCCTTCTTTAGGATGGAATACTCTCACTATTAATAAAATGAACTGTGGAGTCCATGTCTATAAGAATTTCTATAAGAAGCTGCTACATGTTGCATGGAATAGAAGAGATACCCCAGTAATTTAAAAGGACATGTCCTGAATTATATATGTTCTGTTCTGCTTGAAGTTATCAGGAACCTATGTTTCGATTTGCATATGAATGAGCAGCGATATTTACATATGAATAGGTTGCGGCTTATTGATATGCAAATTACAGCTGACCGTTCATATGTTAATATCTTGGTACCGGGACAGTGCAGGCTGCAGGAACAGCACCAGCAAGCTCCGGAAAGAGCACAGAGTAGAGAGAGCTGGGGGAGGAGGTGTTTCTCTGGCCTCCCCCACCAGCGCCCTCTAGTGTCTACTGTGTGGTAGTGCCGGCTCTGCTCGCTACCGCACAGTAGACACTACTCTGCACAGAGGCGGCCATCGGGCATAGCGGACCGGCCCGAACACAATCAGGTTGATTGTGTCCGGCCCGGCCCACCGGGCAAGTGCCCAGTTTGCCCTATGGCCAGTCCGGCCCTGTTCCCTGCATAAAACTGTAAAAAAAAATGTTTTACACAACACATACTGCTTTGTACGCCATTACACTCTTGATCTTCTGTTTTAGGGTTCTGTTTATCTATACAGCCACAAAATTTCTCAAGACCCTTTCCAAATTCTTAATGCAAACAATGAGGACTTAATTGGTGTTGACTTTTTGACCAATGGAAACAAGTACTGTATGGTAAGTCTTTAGCTTTCACAACTTCCTATAACTCCAAATCCCCATAACATTACTGGGGCTGTTGCCCTGACTGCCTTTTCATTGTGTCTACCTTGTCCTGGACACATGCAAAGCATGATGAAGGGAACCTGCTGACCTCTCCTGTAAATGCTAGGTTTTTTACCCTCTTTCTTCACTGCTTATGATGGGGAAATGAGACTTCTCGCCGGGGTCTCAAACATTTTAACAAGCCAGTAGGAGATCAAATTTGCCACCTAAATTGTTAGCTAACTTGTTAGCTTTGAATGGACTTATCCCTCAATATATCAGGACTTATGAATTAAGTATGCATTAAGCCATAGTTTTGACCTTTATGTTTACCTTTAAACTGATGGTTTATTAAGCTCATTTTCTACCTGACATTTAAGTAGTAATGTAGAATATAAATCATCAGAGAGCTGGCTAGAGTGAGGGGAAGACATTTTCTATGGTATGGAATGTCAAGAGAGAAGGTCATGTATTTCTTAGGTTGAATGGTCTCTATTCTTTTACTACTTCCAACGCAAATTTCATGCCTAAAATGATAACCTTTTATTTTAAAATTAAAGGGTGTGGGCAGGTCTGGAGGAGTCCAGATATGGTCAGTGGAAGATGGCACAAACATCAGTGCTTTGGATCTTGACACCAAGGTAATTATTTTGTTAAATGTCTAAAATATGTTTCTATAATTCTCTTGTAATTTCCCTGTATTTGTGATGTTTAAGTGCAGAACTCAAATGAATCAATGTATTTATTGTGATCTGCTGAATCATACCTGTGTCTGCCTTAGAGTGATAATGTAGCCCTTCTTCCATAGGTAACTTGCATGGCATGCTGCCCATCATCCCATTATGCAGCAATAGGTAGCAGCACTGGACATATTTATTTCATTGATGGCGTAAAAATAAAGTCTCCTCGAATAGTTCAAAGAAAACGACTTTATAGTGTTCCTGTTCTACACCTGCAGTAAGTTACCTTTGTTATGACTTTGACTTTTCAGCAGTGCACTGTAAAGTGAACCTGTGTGTCAGTCACCATGTAGGGCAAAGAAACAGGTTTATTTTAATGCAGCCCTTCTAAGCAGCATATGCAATATACAATACTTGCCTTGCTTTTACACCCCCATTGCTCTGTTCAAGAATGGGGGGGCAAAGAAAAGCCCATGTAAAGTATGAGTCACTGAAGTTGACTACCCATGTGACAGAACTGATTGGCACTTAGAATGATTTACATGCTACTCCATACCCAGAACTACTGGATATTTCCTTTAAACTGCTGGCACCGAATAGAGAAGCTGGAAGCAAAGCAAAAGTAAGTATATGCTGGGTTATATAGTGGATCAAAGCAAACCTGTTTTATTGCCCTGAATGGTCAAAGCACTGGTTTGCTTTAAAGGTACAGTACATATAATTTACACAGACATTTGCGGTTTAAATAAAATGGGTCTGTATCTGCTTGCACCCGAAAAAAGAAAGCTTGTACCACCCCAGACAGGCAAGACCTTCTGGAAAATGCCTGTATTAAAGGATTGTACATTTCTCTCTGACCGCATCAACAATATTTACATATAAGCAATAGCAGGGCATTTCATCTGCTCTCTTCATTTTTTTCTAGTTTTGATCAAAAAGGCAATTTCCTTCTGACGGGGGCTGCTGATGGACACATATTTATAGTAGATGCAAGACCTTCCAGTTGCTTTCAAGTTCTTGGATATACAGGTAATAATTTGGTAAAGTGTAAGTGATAACATGAGCATTGCATTGTTAAAAGGTAACATTTGTGAACTTAAAGCTCTAAATATTGTATTTATGTTCTTAGTAAAATCTAGCAACTTGATTTTGTGTTTTGTTATCTTTTTTCATACCTTCACTTTAAAACCTCTCCTTTTCTGTGAAATGATGGTAATGTAAACCAAGTGTCAGGTTCCTGGCAAACACTGACTATATAGGCAATGGTTTGAGCTAGGAACTGGCTCTGTGCTTTCCTAGCCAATCAGAACAGCCTCATGAAGCAGTGGAGGGACAGCACATAGCACCAAAGAACACAAGTAGTGATTTGTCCTTACTCTTTAACACTATGCCCTGTCCCTCTCCGACTCACTATCTAATTTAAGCAGCTAAGTCCCCATTCACACCTAGGTGTACCGGGAACACGCATTGTATTTGTGTGCATTTTGTTCCCACATTTGCCCATTGGTTTCAAGGGGTTGCTACATGTGTGACAAACGCAGTAACGTAGTGCATGCAGCAAAATCCGAATTTTTTTCCACCGTGTTTGTGTATGTTTAAATGTTCACAAACACAGGGGAAAAATGTGTGTTTGCCTGGCCGTGTTTGGGGTACTATTAAATGGTAATGGCACAGCGATTGCGTTTCATGTTTTTCGCGAGTGTGCATCAAAGTGTAGTTTTTTTAATGTGCATTTGCCTCCCGTTCACGGAACGCTCAAGTGTGAATGGGGACTTAGGGGTCTACAACAGCAAACTTATTAGAAAGTGATTTTGCACAGGTGGAGGCAGGACATAGCGTCAACATCTCAGCTCAAATCACTTATTGTGTTGTCAGTGTACATGCGGAATCTGGGGCTTATATTGCAGATGCTAGAACATATTTAATGCTATATATATTTTTTTTATATATTTTTAAAACCAAGATCTTTATGGAGAATTTATTTTATGGCCCTGATAAACGGATTGCAAACCTGCAAAATGTATCAACTTTATCAGCTATGAACCGATAATATTTATTTTGTAACTGCTTGTATCTTTGTGTGACATCATCATTAAATAAAGACCAGCTAGACCTTATGTGTTAACTCCACCACCAGAGAGGGTTCTTTATATCCCTCTGATACCAGTATAAATACCTGACGAAGTTCTGACTCTTTCACTTACTATTCAAAACTAATAATTTTTTTTCTTATGTTCCACTTTGAAAACCATTAAAAAAAACAAATAAAATCTGACTATGGTGAAAAAAACTTCAATTGCTAAAGAAATGTACACTGTAACAAGTTCAGGAAAACTTTGCTGTTTAGCGCATTACCAGTGTCATGGACAAATGGATAAGAGATAGATATGGCTTCAGTCACCAATATAAAGGTTTATTTGTATAGGTTAGATCCAGCACAGCAGTTGCTGTGAAAGCATTTTTGATATGCAGCCACATCTCCACTGGACTCAACAATGGGGTTACATCCAGTGATTTTGCTACCTCAACAAATAAACCTAAACTTAACTGATTGCAGTGAAGACATGATAGGGTTAACTAACTTAAAGTGGAATTAAAGTCTTTTTTTTGGCATATATCTACTGCTATTAAGCACCAACACTAAAAAAAAAAGTTGGCAAATACCAACAAACTTACCTGTGTCAGCGCCGCTCACTCCCGGCTCCCGGCCGCTGTGAAGGAGGAAGTGTGGGAGGGCGTATGCGCAGTCCAGAGCATCAGAGGGGAGAGGAGGAGAGTGGCACAGAAGCTGAATAGACGCAGCCGTGAGAACTCACGTCGGACAGACACCGTGAGACCCATGGAGTGGATCAGAGACCGACACCAGCGCTGGAAGGGCTTTGGAAAATGAGTGGAAGAAATCTTCTCCAAACTCTTCACCCTTTTGTGAATAAGCCTGTTAATGTTTAAGGCAAATAGGCTGTTTACATGGCAAGGGAATTTGCACTTTGCAGGGCACATTTTCCCTTAGTTTAGTGAATGGGGTGAAGTTCTGCTGACTTCCATCATCCAATCATGTGCAAGAAAAAATACTGTTTTGTTTTTTTTATTTTCCTTACACATGTTTGGCCATTCTTTTCAAAGTGAAATTTCACTACATTCATTGAGCTAAGGGATACTTCCCTTGCAAAGTGCAAATTTCCTTGCAAAGTGAACAGCCTATGTGCATTCGCTCTTCTTTATTTCCAATAACCACTGTTTTCATTAACCAAATATATTTGGAATAAAACCCCTGTGGATTATGAAACTATGAACAGATAAAAATGTAATTGTGCTTGTGTGTTTTTTTATGTTCAAATGTGCTTTCTCCTAGTGGTTGGTGGAGATATTTTGTCCTTGTCATCGCTAAGTACAGTGGATTCACAACACGTTAAAGTTTTGGCACTTGTCTGTCCCATGGGAGATAAGGAAGAAGATGAAAGTGGCACTCAGCTGGAGCTGTTTTCCTTGGCTCTGCAAATCTTAGCAAGTAAATTCCAAACACATGAGTTTATTTGTGATTGCAGCAAGTGTAGAAAAATGAAGAGCACTGATACTGAAAGATAATCATTTTAATCTGGATGATGAGTTCTTATGGATGCTTAAAGACAGCCTGTGAGCTATTAATATTGCGGGCTTGGGGGTTGCCATCCTAGACCTGGCTTAAAGCCCAACTCACCAAAATGATACAAATAAGTAGTCAGGCATGTTAAAAAAGTAAAAAAGCAGCTCTCACTGCAATATCCATCAGCACTTTCCCTCACACACTCTCCACGCTGCAATCCAATGCCTGCCATTTTCTCGGTTGAAAGATGACCAGCATCACTCAACCCACTTCCTGTTAGCCCATGCTTTCAAGGACGCACCCCTGGTGGTACGTCATTACGTTGCCCTGGCTTACAGTACTCCTTTGACACCTCTGCCCATGGCTAAGGACTACCGCCACTGCTGTCAGAGGAGAGGAGAAAGGACCTGTGACATCACGCTATTAGCCTAAAGACTGCAGGAAAAAAAGTATGTATATAGTCATTTTGTAGAAAACTAGGCGCGGAGGGCTCACAAATTTACAGATAGGCTTTACCTATCTGTTGGGACACTGGGGGTGATTTACTAACCTAAACACACGCACGCACTAGGTGCGTGTGCTTTTTACACAGCAAAACGTATTTATCAACCAAAAAGTCTCTAAAAGCATATTTCCACTAATGCTATATATGGAAAAATCATGCACATGCTGCATATATAATGCTGCTTCACAGTTTAGACAAAAACGGTTTACGTTCCTGCATTCATCAACGCAAGCAACAGAATGTAGAGCTAATTTACACAACATCACCTTGCAATTCATGCAGGGCTTTGCACAACACACCTGCTGGGTGTGTACACACTACAAAGGTGTCGAGATTCCACTAATAGATCATGCTGGGAGGGAACACACTACAAAGGTGTATACTTGTTCGTGGCGTGTTTATAAGGTTAGTAAATCAACCCCACTGACTTTTAATAAGCATGTAGAAATTTGTAAATGTTGATTTTTCAGGCTTCACTGGCTTCACTGGCTTCACTGTTATTATGTATTCTCCAGATTCTTGTAGGTAATGAATCTAGGCTCAGGGTGACAGCCCACCAAGTCAGCAATAGCAGCATCTATATTTCTATGTCCATAAGCTACTTTTTATAAACACTGTGCAAAATGTCATTCATAATTTCATTCTTTGCTTTTCAAAATCTAGTTTTCATTCTCTTTCCTCTTTCATTCTCAATCACACCAGATACCAGAAGCCAAGGCGGTTTTCTGGGTAGAGGGCATTCTGAATTTTGCAGTTGCAGGATTCTGTAGGCATGCGTACCCCTTCGAGGGGAGAGCTGCCTTTCTGTATTTTCAGACACTATTGCTCTTCCAAGAGCTCAGGAAAGGTTTTGAAAAGAGTAGTGCTACAGGGGCACATAACAACATAATTACAGCAGTGGAAATTTCAGGGCTAATTAAAAGCTCTGCAATTTCCACTGCTTTAATTATGCAGTTTGGTGATGATATTCAGGAAAACACACTGACCATGATCCCCCCAACCTTCAACATTTATTGCATGGCCTGTAAATACAATGAGGGGAATGTATCAAAACTGGAGCAGAGGGAATCTGGAGCAGTTGCCCATGGCAACCAATCAGCTTCCCTCTTTCATTTTCAAAGCTTAACCGAACAAACTAAAGAGAGACGCTGATTGGTTGCCATGGGCAATTGCTCCAGATTCTGTCTGCTCCAGTTTTGATAAATCCTGCCGTATGTTCCTATGGAGTGGTCAGACACATTCCCCAACTGTCTATAGGGTGAACTGCAAGTGATAATTTAGCCTTGAAATTCAAAAGTTATAATACTTTAAAACCTAACTGGGCATCAGAAATTTATATATAATTTTATCGGGGTTCACAGATCAATTTTAAGTGCTCTTTTCTAGGTTTACCAAACAGCAGGCATAGAACTAGAACCTGGTTACAAATAGCAATTTGTAGGCCAACTTTCTATATATAATGATAACCTACAGCAGAAGTCAGGGTTTTAAGGAGGTTTATGGCCATAGGAAAACCTTGAAGTGATCCTGTTGTTTTGAACTTCATTGAGAAGTTACCTGTGTCATGTACTTACAGATCCCATTGAATACACTGATCAGCGTGGGATGTTTAAAGACATCATGATCCAAAAGCAGCAGTACAAAGTGGAGCAGCCCCTGTATTCATCTGTTCTAGGAAGCAGTGGCAATTCAGTCTATGGTTACAGCAGCGACTCTACCTTGATTTACAAATTTGTGCTGACAAAGGTAAATGTGTAAGAATGATATGACTGAAGTGTTTTATGATTAAACAGATAGATGGTACACATGGTCTGTCTGTGATGCTGACAATTATTTTGTTCAGTACTGAAGCTCTGCCGCTTGTAATCATTCAAGACTTGAGGAGCACTTATTCATTACTTATTAATAACTTGGAAATCCATTATGCATTTTTATCAAAGGTTTGTCAGCAAGTTGTCATACTTCAGAATTTAGAATGTGGAATACACTAAAGCTGTAAAATTGCTAATTTAGTGTGGAGTAGGTGCTGATGGCACTGGTCAACAGCTTATCTGGCTTGGCTTGTAATCGGTCTTTCTGTCTCAGATCTGACAACACAGATATGTTCCCAAGTGGATGGAGTGCTGGAAGAAAATAGCACTGTACCAGCCAAGCAGGCTTGGCAATACCACAACTGTTGGCTTAAAAAGGAACTTTACCCATATGTCCAAAACAGCAACAAATACACCTTTAGAAATGTTTAGTAATAACAATCTACAAACAAATACTTCTAGAACATTGTCAGCTTTTTATTTTTTGCATACCTTATTTTTCTTTTCTTCCCCATTCTTCTGACAGTGGCCATTTTAACTAATTGCAGATTACTCTTTACCTCCTGGAACTCTGGCACATGTGACTAGGACATGTGACTATGTACATGATCTCAGTGGAGGAAAATGCCTTTCCCTGAGATCTCATGAGATTACAGATGATATTTCCCAGCATTGCTCTGCTGATGTAATCTTGGGCACATTATATCATATGTGCCAAAGTGGACCAGGAAGTGGAAAAAAAAGTTAAATAAAAAAAATGTTTGTTTAGCTAATGAATTTAAGATGATTTCATATCAGCATGCCGATTATACTGTATACTGATGTGATTTTTAATCAAAGGGGGTAAAGGTCCACTTTAAATTTAGTTAACCTGGGATTAGGGCTGTTTTATGCGCAAGCCCATGCATGTTTACTGAAATTCAACTATAAGCAGACATTTTGTGACCCAAAGTGGGTCAGAGCCTTTGTCATTTCTTGCCCTGATGTCACGAGGACAGGAAGTTAGGAGAAATCTCCCCAATTGGGTCACCAGCAGCAGAGGTTATAGCCATTGCCCACTCTATTTAAATCCAAAAGCTGAGCTTGAACGTTAACACTAAGGAAGGCTGATATGTATGGCATATCAATAAGCTCCAAGCCTTATACAACTTGCACATGCAGGAAATGAGAAAAACACTTGCTATATTATGTAATAAAGTACAAAGCGCACTGCTGTTCAGCAAACCACAAAATAAATTACAAATCAGCTTTCATTAGCTAAACATAAACTTTTTTTATACTGATCTCTGCTTTGTTCACTACGAACCACTGCCATTTCCAGTATTTGTCATCAATACCCTTCATCTACATCAGACAAAATTGTCTGTTTATGCCTGTAGGATGCTGCTGGGGATCTACCTAAACTTCTGTCTGCTGAGAAGAAGGTGCGGGGGAGTCAGCTTGGACCTGGATGTCTTAATTTGTCCTTTCATCACAAGTGGCTTGCTGTGGCTGCAAGAGATGGTATTTTGTATGTACAGGATTCCTTTAATTTGGTAAGTATACACAGTTATACTGTATTATGCCATACATAATGATTACAGGAAAGTTTCAAATAACCTAATTTTAGCATGGAAAAAATCTTACTATAGGAGTGCACGGCATTTCTCAGGCCCATGGGAGAGGGGGAGCAGGTTTCTCTCTCTAAATCCCATTTTCTTGTATCGAGTTTAATTCAGGCAGGCAGATGTACTAACCATGCTGCCTGGCATGTATTGCATATTATTAACAAATGTGCACAGGTAAAAGGCAGGTACTGTCTGCTTCACATATACCATGTCATTTGCTTGGCAGTGTAGTTAGTTCATTTGCTATGTGAAATTTAAACCTAATGCCTTTCGCTAACCTAAGGTGTAGGAATACTGAGGGAGTGAGAAAACATTATTTAGCTTTAGGGCACCTGTTTCCTCCCTGCACCTTTGAATTTTCCTTTTAAGTCAGCATGTCTAATTAATCATTTTCCTAAAAGCAGCAATGTATACAGAGAAGGGAACTCTGTTGTACTGGATCTTTACAGAAAAGTTGCAAAGATAAATATAGATTTACACAAAGACCACCTTCACCCTGGATAACGTATTATTGTAGAATACATAATACTGAAGATATTAAATAATAAATACAGTAATAACAATGCTTTGTTCCTTTCCCTTTGATCCAATAACTATTCCTATTTACTAATTTTTAGGAAACCTTTGCTCAGGCAAGCTGCCATTCATACCACAGTGGGGGTATTGGCTCAATGGCCTTTTCTTTAGATGGCCATTCACTGGTTACCACAGGGATGGGAGATGGAGCAATCGTGTGCCTCAGATGGAGGTGAGTTCAGAAGCCGGTAGATGCAAATGCACATGCTAAGAACACCTTTGATATATTAACTGAAATACAACAACTAATTTATAACCAACTGTTGCCAATTGCCTAAAATAATCTAATGAAGAGTGATCACTGACAGACTGATATAGTTAACTGCACCTTATTGTTAATTATGCCCTGTTGTAGAATTACACTGTCTGGTAGGCATTCATGCAATCCTCTGAGCATGCAGTTTGCATTAAAACTGTATTGTGGCCATCTTGCCTAATATGTTTCAATGCTAAATAAAGCATTACCTGTGCTTAGCTTTTCATTAAAACAAACACACAGTCCACATTCTTCATCTATATAATGTTTGATCCCCACATTTCCTGTTGGAGCTACAAAAGCTTTGATTAAAGCTGCCTCTCAGATGGTGAATGTATTCACAGACCTTCTGGGAACAATATAGTGAATGCTGCCCGGGATTATGGAAGAACTCTCAGCATATCTCTTAAGTCTACAATATTTGATGAAGATGAAGCTTTAAAGAAAATGCCAGCTTGGTCTTCAGATATTGACACTGCACCAGTCCAGGAAAAAGAGGTTAGTTTTAACATCATGAGCTTTCCTTTGATGTTTAGATTTGTTTTAATATAATTTATTCATTATATTTGATGCCTTTTCTTACCTTTTTATTCTCATCAATATACCCTCTTTTTCTCAGTGCTCATTTTATACTCTTTTTAAAACCTTAAAGTGACATTAAAGTCAATTTTTTCCCTCCCCCAATGTTAATTAAAGCACTTTCCCTTAAATAATGTCTCTTAATCCGATCTTCTTCTTTCCTTTTCATCTGTCCCTGTAGCGATGCGGCGGCTCTCCGATCCAGCGCTAACTCCTCTGTCCTTGCTGGCACTTCCTGTCGCACGGTGTCTGTCCCACGCATCCATAGACTTACCTTGTGTCTCTCCTCGTCTCCCGGCCGAAAATGTGAACTGTGCATGCGCCCGCCCCAAGATGCTTTTCGGCCACCCGAGAATTTTCACATTTTTGGACTGGAGCGCGCGGGGAAGACACAGGTAAGTATTGACCTCTTTTAAAGCGTTTTGTTGTTTTTTTACACTTTTTGCATAAATCTACTGCTTGCTACCAGTAGATATATGCAAATAAATTGAGGCTTTACTTATACTTTAAATAAAAATTTTAGGTATACAGGTATACAAATAAAGTTTAGGTATTTGTGTGTCTGTGATGCTGCTTCACTCTTTCAAACATACAAGGGTATGAGCACAGATTGTTTAGACTGTAGCTGTGGAAGGTGATTACTGCAAAGTTTTAAAGGAAAGGGAAGTGTTTTCCTTTTCCTTGTAAAGCCCCTTTAAGATTCATGGTTTGAAACATCCATTGGCTTGGGGAACAATTTCAGGTTTTATTGTTTTTAGTTTTCATCAATAACCTGCTATATTCTGTTGTTATGTTTGGCCTCAGACCTCTAATGGTAACCATAGGTGGCTTGAATTTCATCTAAATCCTGCAGAATGTGCTGAAATTTGAGCCGCTGGTGGTCCTGTCAACACTATCCGGCTCGATAAAAGTCGATTGCAAAATCGACAGAGTCTGGTGGAAAATTATCGGCTTTAAAGTGACTGCGTGTGGAGATTTCTCCATCCAAACTACTTGACTAGCATTACAGTTTGAAAGCATCATGTGCTTGCACAGAAAGCTAGAGAGTAGAAGGGTGGAGGTGTTACTTGTAACAACTGTCAAGATTGTACCTAATGTTTTGTAACTGTCTTTAGAACAACAACAATGGAAAGTAATTGGTATATGCAGCACCTGCGCTTTCCTTTGCTGTGATCTACTGAGCCGACCTGTGACAGTCTCATTGTCACAGGTCGGCTAGAACTATGAGGTGAGTGAAAAGCACTCACCTCATAGTTCTCCTTTAATCATTACAATCTTATTAAATCATTTTTTGGGGAATTATGGATATTTAATTTGTATATGATGATGGCATTCTCTTTATTTAGCACAATCAGTTGAGTGTGGTGGTCACTGATCAGGATGATAGCTTCACAGTCGCCTCATCTTTTACATCTGGAGATCCTACATGGCTTGATCAGAAGCTTGATGAGGTATTAGTTACAGTTGTTGTAATAAGTTAGCATGTGTATAAATTCCAATGTCAGCCGTTTTTATATCACTGTCTTTACTTTTTTAAAATCTTTTTTGTATTAGTTTTCCAGAGCAACTTGCTGTTTTTAGGAAGATTTAGACAACCAAAGTAAGACCTGATTAAAGTGCTGGACCTGGAGCAAATTGTAAATTTCAGCCCCTTTTTATGAAAAAAATTCTCCCTGTTCATGCCGTAAAGTAACACTAAACTCAGGAATTAAATGCATTCAAGTACCTTAACCTTTAACAATAATGTATCTTATTTGTATATCACTCAGCTGTAGATCCTCAAATCATCTCTGAATTGGTGCTGACACTGTCCTTCCTTCTGGAGGGTGGCTACTTTTGTTCCCCATGGTCCCTGTGTGTGTTGTAAAGTAGCCACCGCTCCTGTGATGGACTACAGTCCAATACAAATTAGTAAACTAAACGTGAGATTGTAGTCCATCATGGTAGCGAGCTAGTGGTGGCGACTTTACAACACACACAGGCACCATGGGGAACACAAGTAGCCACCCTCCAGAAGGAAGAACAGTGTCAGTACAAATTCAGAGATGATTTGAGGATCTGCAGCTGAGTGATACACTCATAAGATAGATTTTTGTTAATAATTAGGTTACTAGAATGGATTTTTAGGATTTAATTCCTGAGTTTAGTGTCACTTTGAGGTGCTGATTTTTAATAAATCTATACAACATAATAATCCAAAATGAGCAAACAGGCTCTCATCCCACACACGGACTGCAGTATGGCAGCATAATTCTGTAGCATGGGTGTATCTCAGATGCAGGCTACCAAACATGCTGCCGTTTATATTGAAAGTTCAACTCTCTATGGCCCAAGGGGTGAAACACGTAAGAGACTGTCGATCAACGTGGTGAAATTGTCAGTGTGTTTCTGTACTGTTGGATTCATCAATTAAAGTTTTTACTATGGTAGATATGCACAAGATATCGGAATGTCAAGGGATACTAAAATTTGGGGACCAAAACGAGGAGAGTTAAGGGGGCCACATTCCCTTCGGTGATTAATTAAAAAAAGATATACTCAATGTGCATATGAAATGAGCAACCAGGGTCGAGCCTCCTGAATTCACAGTCCCAGAGGCTACCGTAGTGTATTATATATTGCCTTTCCTATAAAAGATATGAATACATCTCATGTTAGTCACTGAAATGTAGGTATTTCTCAGCCGCCTTGGTAAGAAACAAACTATTTGCGAGTAATTGCTAAAAAAGTGACTGTAGTTTTGCTGACCACAAAATCCTATTTTTCCATTTTATGTTTATTGGAACGTAATCACAGCTACATTGATTGCATTTTTGTTATAATCAATGCTAAGAATCAGTTTCATGCATAATAACTATGTAGACTTTTTTATAATATCAAGGTAGATTGTTATCATTGTATGATTAGTGATTACTGATTAATGAAATGTCTGCTGGAAAATCATTTCTACTTTATTTGAAGGAGAAATGTTGGGAGAATAAAATGTACTGTACCCAATGCTTAGAGTCGGCGTGTGAAACTGCAGGTGTCACATGGCAGCTCTAATGATCGAGAACTGAGCTATCATGAACTGCTGATCACTCAGCTCACAGTCTTCTCCCTGCAGAGAGCGGTGACTGTCAGTCACTTCTCCCAGCAGGTATTCCCTCCTCCCCTCTCTGTTCCTCCAGCGCTCATTGGTCATCAACAGTAAATCTACTCTTTTGACCCAAAAGAGGACTAAAGCCTAAAAAAAGGCTTGGCTTTAGTTGTCTTTTAAGTGACTTCTGATAGAACGATGAGGCATATTGTATTTGCCTAAAGCAACCAATTGTACATGATCTTTCACTGAATGGACTACAGCATGTTCATTGGTTGCACCACCTGAATATAAAACATGTGTATGAAAAGAGTATATAAACTAAGTGGCCATCTAACTGTATCACTTTTAAGTACTTTATTTTTTTATGTGTTCAATGTTCACTTTAAAAGGCAATAAAAGAAGAAACAAAGAAATATGAAAACCAAAAGAAAAGTCTAAAAAATGGTATAAAAGAAATGAGGCAAAGAGTAAGTAGCTTTCCAATTATGTTAAGATGTAATCATGGGAAGATGTTGTCTGTATCTGATATTATTGCAGTTACACTTGCTTTATTTTTAATAACACGTAAAACGACATCATTATTCTGCTTTGTAGCAAATCCTAGACCAGGGGTGCCCACAAGGTCGATCCCACTGTGGGCGGTCCCACTGTGGGCAAGGGACCTGACTGCGGTGTCATTGACTTCAATGCACCGCCACGCCCCCTCCTGCCCCCTGAATGCAGTTGTTTTTTCATTGGTAGATCTCATTGAGCTTGTCATTTGAAAAGTAGATCTCCAGAAGAAAAATTGTGGGCGCCCCTGTCCTAGACCATTACTCAACATAAAGTGTAACTCTACACTTTTGACTTTGATCCAACAGTGGTCTTTACTGCTGTCTGTGATCCTGCCATTTTGGTGTAATTTGCCTTACTAGAAGGTTACTCAGGAATCTATAAAGAATGCTTTCCAAAGAGACTCACAGCAGAACGCAGACTGATTGAGCCAGAAGGGCAGTGGGCATAGTCTCCCACAAATACCAGTAAATATGTTTCACTTAAAGGTGATATATGAACTATTATCTCAAGCAAAACAAATGTTGAAGATCCATAACTAAAATTAAGAATGAAATGGAAATCTCCACTTTGGGATTTGCCTGCCCCTGGGCAAGAGAGCAAAAAGTTAAATATTAAAAGTTAAAAGTTAAATAAACACAAGACTATTCAGGTTATCCAGTTCATTGATTACTATACCAGGTAGAGGAATGTGACAATATGATTTATATGGTGTCTTTGGGAAGCACAGAGCAGTGTTTTATTTTCCATACATTTTTGACAAATTCTATTTTATTTCTATATGGGCTGTTACAGATATATAATATTAGCCCTTAGACAGGTTAATCTTTGCAGCCTATACAAATGACTTCAGCGTCTGTTATGAGGGACCATCCATGAACATAGTGAGTTCCCATTTTTGCATTATTTATTTGGCAATTGTTGCCTTTTCTGATTGATGGCCGTGTCAGGAAGTGAAGACATTGCTTTCCTTTGGTGCAGCCTACTGAATGAGCATGGGCAAATGTGACATTTCTCTTTGTTCTTTACTAGAGATCATCCTGTGTATGCCTGTCTAAGGCCTCATATATACCTTTTTATATGTCACATGTGTCCCATGTGTCACCAGCCCTCCCTGTGGAAGGTGCATTTGGAAAACACATCAAAGATGCAGAAAAAATGATTTTTCTCAATGCGCTGCACCCTCTCCAATCCAAAATGCTAAGGTGTGAATATAGCCTTACAGTAGGTGAGCTGATTTTAGAAAGGCGTTAACTTGGAGTTTCCCAGCCAATTATACTGTGTTGAAAATACACAGCAAACCACCAATGAAATGTATAGATATTTGCAGCTGGCTATTAGTAATGTTTTCAGGTGAAGATTACCAATTTAATACTTTAAAATGAGATGTTTTGAATTCATAGGGTTGATATTTTCTATAGGTATCCCTGTTTAAATTGCTTATTAAATGTGTCATTTGTAGATACAAGCCATGATGCGAGAGAATGAATCCTTGCCTGACATTGAAAAATTAGATCAGCAGGAATTTAATCTGGACACAGAGGAGCAAGCGAGACTGCGTGCAGAAAGAGAGCAGGCTGAGGACAGGGTAACTGATCATTTGATGCTGAAGGATTTAGTGATTAGGAAAATATATTACCCAAGTAGTGAGAATAAATGATGTTTACTTGAAGCTGAACTCCAACCTTACCTTCAGTCTTGCACAGTTGTGAAGACTCTCCCTGCTGTACGGAAATTGATATCTCTACAACAATAGTAGATTAGAAGCTGCAGTAAGTCGGGTAGAGCCCAACTAATTTCCTAGCTGGAGAACATCCAGCATCATCTAGTTCTATCCTCCCCAGCCTGACTGTTCAAGGCCCATCCCTTTTGTTCATTGGATTTCAGTTCTTTCAATCATGGTGACTCGGCATCACATATATTGGTTACCTGGGGCAGTCTACCTGCAAATCCAAGCTACCTAGCAATGCCCATTCATCCTAACTAATATCCACCCATCAGGGCATTTTGATTCTTGCATAACTCTTCCTAGACATGTTTTACCCACTTCTGGCTTATGGAACTGCATGTGTTTATTAAGGTATGTAATGAAAATGGAGTGGATTTAATTTTACCTTTATTAGCATGTTGTTGAGGGGAAAGGATCAGCCAGGCAAAATATATATGCTCACAACAAACATTACAATCTGACTGTACAATCTTCTTTAGATCTACTAACAACTATGTAGCGCAAGAGCCTGCCTGATTGGATGCAGATTTATTGGACACATTGGGTAGGTCCTCACTTTACATAGTGTTGGTAAATCTAAAGTTAATTGTACAAAGATTGTATGGTCGGTTTACAATGTGTATGGTGAGCCTAAATCTGATGACAATGGTTACAGTAACCTCAACATTATTTCAGGACAACTGGGGAATGTCCATTCTGGAGCAGTGGTGCCACTCCTTACCAGTTCCAAAAAAACAATGACCAGCCAATAAAAAAAGAAATCATACCCCACCATTTTAAAATGAGGCTGCCACAAAAGGACTTCCATTTAGTTAAATCAAAGGAAAAAGGTCCAATAATAGTAAACTAAAATAATTAGTTAAGTTATTGTCCAACTTTTATTATCTAATAAAGATGATATGATATGAAAAGTATATTAGGTAGTTCATATCAAACTGGGAAGAATTCCAGAAGCCAAACATGGCACTGTTTCCAAATGTGTGCGTTTTGAGAATTGCTTAGGCTTCTAGATTTAAAAAGCTCTATACCAGTGGTGGCGAACCTTGGCACTCCAGCTGTGCCAAAACTACAAATCCCAAGATGCATCTGCCTCTGGGAGTTATGTCTGTGGCTGTCAGAGCCTTGCAATGCCTCATGGGACTTGTAGTTCCAAAACAGCTGGAGTGCCAAGGTTTGCCATCACTGCTCTATACTAAAGCTAGTTTTATAGCTGGACCTTTTGCATAATAAAATATTATCATCCTACCAGGCTTTGGGAAAGGATAAGGTGTTTGTGCAGTCACAGTGAGGACTTCACCTAGAAGGTGGCAATTCTCATTCTTAGTCTATTGGCCAGGATGGAGATAGGACAGTTACACAAAGCTAAATGATTCTAAATAGTGGTATCACCAAGGTTTAGGTAAATGTATCAGGGGTAAGTAGCCGCACAGAAAGACACCCTGTGGCATGAAAAACAGTTCACTTATATGTATGTATCTCTCTATGTTTAGCCATTGAGTCACATTTCTGCTTCAATTCTATGGCTAAAATTAGTAAAGGCAATGCATGGGTTATAGACACAGCAGATGATGCCGAGATCAGTATGTATTTTTATGGCCATTGGGCACATTTTGTATATCTAGCAATGGAAGTTGAACTTTGGCTGTTGTGGGGACTACAAAAATGAAGCACAGGGTCTCAGTAGTTCTGGTATTAAATATTTATGTAGGTTCCTGACTTTTGGACCTTGTAAGAGCCCCACAAATGTAGCATGTGGAGTGCTCTTCCACCGCACATCTAGACTATGAATAGTTTCAATAATAGTTTCAATAATAGCTAAATGAAATGAGTGTGGACAAGGCGGTGGAGCTTGCACAGGCAGTGCCATTCATATTTGCTGAAGAAAAATACCATTGTTTTATTTACCACACCATCTTGGCATGGGTTATATTTACATTCTAATAGTTTTTGAGCTGAGGACAGTGAGGGTATAAAGACAAATAAGGGACATTTTCTTTTTTCTCTGTTCTTGTATTTTATTCTGTTTGCATTTGTTGTGAATGCTTAGATAGTATATATTTTTAGTGGTTCTGTTTCCAATAACTCATACTTTTCAGTTAAAATAACTTGTTTTCTAAAAGGTGAGGCAAGAAATTGAAATGGAAAATCTGGCCAAACAGTACCTACGTGATGTTATAAAGAAAGAATGCTGGGATGCCATGGCTGTTAAAGGACGATCTGTTTTGGTAAATGTAGTACGATCAGCATGAAGAGGACATTTGATTATTTTGAGACTCCCAAATTAACAATGCTCACTTTTTTTTTTTTTTGCTTAGTCTTTTCATGCAGATTATGAGGTCAAAAATTATTCCTTGAAAGAGCGAAGTGAAAAGGAACTAGAAGATGTTGCCAGAGTGCTGAAGCTCAAGAAGATTGAATCTATTGATCTCAAAGTAAAGACAATTTTTAATATATTTACATTCAGTGAAACAAAATGTATTTAAATACAGTAATTTAATACATTCTAAGACATGAAATTCACACATACAGTTGAAATATTTAAAACACGTTTGCCTGCTAAAGGCACAAAGTAAAGCACATACCCTTATGACCTACCCAGTCCTGACTGTTTGGTATAATAAAGGCAACAACATTTTTCATAGTTTGAAACTCTATATACTTCATGCCGCTGCCCTGTCTCCTTCCTGATCTTTAGCTAACCAGTGAACATCATCAAACTTAGAACACCCATTCTCAGCTTTCTCCTTCCTTTAAGCTCACCTAAGTACTTCCCAGTAGCCCAGTTTCAACTTTCAGCTGGTGGCAGCAAATATATACATGGTAATTAATGTTTTATTTAAGTTTAAATATGGAGTTGTACTTGTCATGTCAGGTATCACCCTTTCTAATGGATGGTGCTCTGCCAATTTGCACAACTGAAATAGAGCATGTACTGCTGTTTTATGCACTGTCGACTTTGAGCCCATTTGTTTTTGTTTTGCTATGCATTTCTTACTTTGCTTGTAAGACTGTTTTTACGGATATAAGAAGGTTGTATGAAAATTATATATTTTTTGTTTGTGAATGTAGGCTAGAAAGGAAATTGTTGAAGTTCAGACAAGGATAGGGTCAGAAGAGGATGAAGAAGTGGAGGAAGAGACAGCCACAAGTCAAGATACCACATCGTTGATTGGAAGTCTGAGCGATCAGTATGGAGGTGACACGTCTACCTTGTACAGCCAGCTGGAAATGCACAGCAGAGAGGAGAAAATAAACCAAATCATATTGCTTCAAGTATGTGGATCGCTGATGGCTAATGAAAGATATAAACATTGTGTTTTATCCAGTTAGAAATTCTATACCCAGAACAAGTCACTGTTAATGTTTTTTTCAAGATGATTTCCTTTGCAGCAGGTTAAGGAATCTGGCAGAATTCAGTGACAATGACTAACAATTATCGAGTGTCTACTTGTACCTTTTTAGGCAGAAAAGGGTTCTATGCATTTCTCTTTAGAGTACCATGCAACTTTCTCTCTACCATTTAAAGAGGGACCTCAGCCATTTTTTTAAAGTTTTGGATACAGTGCTCAAGTTTTGGAGTCCAGATATAATTTATTGTTCACAGTACTCATAAAGAAGCTAACTCTTTCAGGAATTCTGAGGAGCCCCCTTCCTCAGAGCTGCAACATGTTGGCCAGAGAAAGATCTCTGAAGGAGCTTAAAGCCTGCACTAGCTGCTCTTTTGGTGGCTCTCTGGCACTTTCCTGATAGGTCGATCGAAGAACCATACAGTGGCCTTTCAGTACCTGAGAGCTGCCTCCCAAGAGCCAGGAGATACCCTCCCTTTGAGAAAACAAACTACACCAGGAAATCCAGCTGCCCAAAATACAAACTCTCAACAGATTTTTGTCCCTGCTAAGGGTATTTTCCCTTAGCTTAGTGAAAATTTGCATGCAAAGTGAACAGCCTATTTTCCTTTATTAAATTAACCCCTATAGGTTAGGACAGTATGATAATATGTGTACAGGTTGCACATGGAAAATGTTGCCAATTTCTATTTTAGTCTGCCAACAATTCACAGTAGACCATTAACAAAGATGTAACAGTAGGCAAATTCATGAGTTGATTTCTCACTTGCCACTATTTATGGGTGATTGTGAGCACTATGAAACATGAGGAAAGGGTGGTCAAGGGCTGAGTAGAAGAGCTGACGAAATGAAGTGTTGACTTAGAATTCATTTGTGTCTGCTTGTTAGAGGGTTCCTTTATAGGAAACAATGTAAGACTCTATTCCCATTCTCATTGGATGTCCCACATATCCTGCTCAGGGCTGTTACCAATTTCCTGTTGCACTTAAAATAAATGTAAAACCCAACAGGGAGAATGGGGCCCTAGATGCTGAAGTGCAAATAATACCTGAGCAGTGACTCTGAAAGACATAAGATGCTGATTCAACTTTCCATCACCTATCCATACGGATCAGTAACTCTTAGTAATGACACCTCAGCAATGGTATTTCATAGGGGGGAGTTAAGTGTTGGAAGAGCAAGTATTAAGGACATGTTTTAGGGGATATGCAGGAGGAGTGCTGAGTGCATTAGTACTAGGAACACTTTGTGACATTTGGACAGCTAAGAGAGCTGCAGGGTACCCTAAGAGCGCTGTGTAAAAAAACACCAGCACAGAAAACATCACAGCATCAACAAGTAAAATATAAGTTTGAGGTGGACTGGCCCTTTAATTATCTTATGCCATTGACTTACAAAGTCATATATGTAAAAAATCTAGAGAAGAGTGAAAAGATCTGTTAAATATTTTAGACTTCTCATTCAAATGCATTATAACATTTCACACAGGACATCATCCACAATGTCAAAACAGCCTTTAACAAAGAATTTGAAGCAATTTATAGACAGAAGGAGCAAGAAGTCTCCCGTGTTAATGAAAGAAACCAAAGAATTCTGGAAATAATGTCTGAACTGAACATCCAAGAAAAAATGTTAGAACCAAAATTTACAGATAATGAGAAACCAGAGAGAGCGCTCACAGTGGACGATTCTGAGGTAATCATCAAATATTGTTATGAAAGTAATGACACAGATCAATTTTACTTGTAAAACAATTTATTTGCTGTCATCACCCTCTTTTGTCATCACATTCATCAAGACATTTGACATTTAACGCACGCACTAAAAAAACAAGGTGTGCTTAATACATCATCATCTCTGAGCCTGACGAAGGGGACCCTGTGTGGCCCCGAAAGCGCTTGCCAATGAGAGACAGCATCTGCCAATAAATGAGCATCTAATTGCTGTTATTATCGTAGTTGGAGTGCTGGTGACGTCTTTCTTTTTGTCTATGTGTGGTGGCGCCATCCGCAGTCATTTCGAGCACCCATCTTTTTGTGGGGAGTCCCGGTGAGGAGTGCGGCAAGTTTTCTTTTTTCTTAATACATCAAGGCCCCCTTTCTCATAAATAATAGCGGCAATATTTGACTTCTGCCAGTGGTGCCTAGGCAAGGGTGACTTCAGGATCCTTCAGCCGAAATTATGGAGAAGGCTAAATATCCCAAATCCCAGGATAAGATGTTTCTGCGCTGCGCTAAAGTTGTATCCTGTAAGATTCACCTGCTGCAGTGTGAATGTCAGGGGTACAGTTGGTATTTATCCATAGTTTTTGTTTTTTAAATCCAATGCTTCTATTTTTATTGGGTAGAGACCCTGATTTATTAAGTTGAACTTGCTTTTTTCTGCAAAGTCCACTTTAAGCGCATATGTGCTTGATACAGAAATTTCTTGTCAGTTGGGTTTTGACACTGAGAGGGTAACCCAGAGGTAGGCAACCTCGGCACTTCAGCTTTTCTGGAACTACAAGTCCCATGAGGCATTGCAAGACTCTGACAGCTACATGCATGACTCCCAGAGGCATGGTGGGAATTGTAGCGTTACCACAACTGTAGTGCTGAGGTTGCCTACCCTTGGCCTAACCATACAGCCTGGCACAAGGCACAAGTAACAATTAAAGAAAGTGCAACAATGTCCCTGCCTTTAACCTATCTCTTAAAGTGGGCCTTTCATTATAATTGAAGGTCAGCTTTACTGACAGCCCCCAAATACATATTTGTTTAAGAGCCTTCAAAGCATGCAAGCATGCCTCGGCATCTGACACTTTTGGAAAGGGCGAGTCAAATCCTTGTGGTTTACTGCGGCCTCCCATGAAAGCTGGACACCTGAAATCCAACAAAATGACTCTTAAGCACATTGCACACAGTTACTTAGTACTAACGCATAGGGGATGATTTATAAATGTCCCGCCCAGCCATATGCTGAGTGAATGCCATTCGTGCAGCATTCCTGCCACTAGATGGAGCCAAGGCGCATAGGACATTCTCTATCTCTACCTCAATTTCCATGTCCATCCTTCCTCCTTTCAGCTCACAACTTAGCAGACCTTAGCCATCCACAGAGCTCAAGCCTCTAACAGCAAGTAGAGGCTGTTGCAGCTCTGGCTTCACTATGTTAGGTTACATAAGCAGTGTGGAAGCCCGCTGCTGTGTTATCTAACTTAGCTGTCAAAAGCCGGATGCAGCGCCACCTGTAATTAACAGGCAGCGCTCTGTCCATGACGGGTTACACAGTGGGGAGGCTTTCCCTGCTGTGTAACCTGTTACAAGCCGCTCTGAATGGAGAAAAAGCTGTCAGCTTCAGACTTGAAGCTGACAGCTTTTCCCTCCATAATACTAGGTGAGGCTCTGCCTTCCCTGACTGCACGTCCCTGATGAAATGCATTTCTTATTGAAAATGAGCTGTGTACATTTTGTAACCACATGTCTTTCTACTATTCCTCTAAAGATAAAGGTTGAAAAATATTTGACAGCTGAGCAAAAAGCCAAAGCAGAGCAGCAAGCCAAAGAGGAAAAGGAGAAATACCTGGCTGCTCAGGTAAATATATATTGTGTAACAGAACTCTGTGTCCTCTCTGTTCTCCTATGTCCTATTACAAGCGATGAAAATAATACAGCTGCTCTGCTCCTAGTATTTTTTCCTATACTCTATTAATAATCTGTTTTTTCCAGTCTTTCTCCTCATTTTACCCCATTTCCACTTTAAGAATGCCTTTGCCAGAGCCTTGGGGTTTTTTTTTTAGAGTTTCTATATTTCCTTTACCTCCCATGCAGGTTGCTGTACTTTGATATTTCTGTTAGATATCCTGTCATTTCTTTTCTTGTCCAGCTTTCAAAAACTCATCCTTGCAGTAATGTGACTCTTGCACTGCAAGGGTTAAAGTAGTATTAAACTCTTAACCTTTTTTTCAATAATTAATCCAGATTAAGCAAATATACATTGCCCAGAAAATTATTTCTTTACAGTTTTGCCCAAGCACTTAGTCATCATGTTTCCAAACAGCTCCACCTCTCTCAGCTCAACTTCCCTGTCCAGCACCAGATAACGGGGGATAGCATCTGCAGCATCTGTCCAAATACTAGCATGGAGAAGGAAGGAAAAAGAATCTTACTAGAATGCATAAGGGTGACTCCACAGGACCCTGCAAGGGAAAGGTGACACGCTAAAACATGATGTAAGGGCCAGCTCTCAGGGAACCAACTGATTCTGCAGGAAACTAAAATCAGTTGTAGGTGATTTATTCAGCATTTGAAATAGCTTAAAAACCTTTTGACTTTAATAGCACTTTAGGTGCTCACTTTGTCAAGTAAAGCAGATTTACTAAGAGCAGCAAAGAGAAGGGAAACAACCATGGATTACAGTAAGGCACACATTGCAGTATTGGTTTATGTTAAAAAATCTGAGGGTTTAATGTCACTTTAATTATGTTCCATTCCTTGTCCACACGTTAATCTTCTCCAGCCTGCTTTCCATTTCTGCCTTAGCTCTTCCCTTATAACTTATTTTTTAATTCTGAGCTGAATTGGAGAATTTTTCCAAATCAGCTATGTTGTCCTAGATTGTTCACTCCTCCTGCCTTCTCCAAACTCTTCACCCTTTTGTGAATAACCCTGTAAGTTTATTTATATAAGAAATACATTTTATATGTAATAATATTTTTGAATTTAGCCTACCAATTGAAAAAGATGTGCTGATTTTGACTAAGGTTCAATATCTTTTCTTTCATGCGTCAAAAATTGGTCTATTACTATGAACAATTTACTAAGAGAAGGTGATTTATTCCAATATCTGGAAATAGTCATTTTTGCTGCTTGAATTAGAAAGGTTAATAAGTAACCTTTTTAAGTTTAATTGAGTCACAACTTTGTGCGTTAGTTTAGTATGAGATCAAATATCAACATATTCTTGGTAGAAGTTATTTTTTGTACAAAGAGAAATAGGGCTATAGTGCAGGAGAACTACATGTGTAAATTTCTAATTTAAGATTTATATTTCAAGCAAAATTATTCTCACTGCAAACTAAATGAAACTAAATGCAAAGTAAAGTCTACGAAAACTTTTTAGAAAGATAGGGTAAGAAGGAGATAGAACTGTTATTGCTGTCTGTGACCATGTTGTGCCACCTGGAACAGAAAAAGGGGATACAGACAGCAGTAAAATTCTGACAAAGGTTCCAACCCTACTGTACTCTTTCAAAGACTAAAAAAAAGTTTTGGTAGATTGTTATTTTAATTACCTTTCGAATATTATGAAATGGGCTTTCTTTATGTAAGCTTTGTGGGCCTTAGGCTGGTCTGTATATTGCTTTTATACCAATCACGCATTCAAATTGTTATTATATAGGATTTATATAGCGCCAAAGTTTTTGCAGCACTTTACAATATAAGGAAGACATTACAGTTACAATACAATTGAAAACAAGATTGTAAGGAGGACCCTACCCATGAAAACTTACAATCTAAAAGATCATCCTTTATTATATACATATATTTTTGGAACTTTGTAATATGTCTGTTGATCCTGGAGCTCATCATTGTCATCTGTGGCATGCCATACATATTCTGTCATTGATAAGGATGATGTTACTATCTGATGGTTTACAATCCTCATATATTATGAAACTTGTCTCCTTGTCCTTCCATCTAATTTCCTCTGAAGCTAAATTGCTGTTACTTATCTTGGCTCCACTATGTGCACAGTTATTGATCTGGAACTAATATGCAGGACAGAGGTCTAAACATCACTGGGTGTTCATTGTGTTGCTGGGTGGGAAAACAAAGATAAAAATGACAGCCTTGGAAGGATGACAGTTGGAAGTAGCGGCACCAAAATGTGTATCCTTGCTGTTTAATGCAGTATTTCTGGTAAATCCTAAGGATACTCAATACTGTTTTTTGGATCCCATGTACCAACCAAAAACAGCAGCTTCTAATGACATGCTATGACACTCTTTAATAAACATATCAAAGAGATATTAAATTCATCCTTGTGTGTGCCAGTGACGTGCTGAGATTAACCAAAAATAGTAGACATCAGATGATGGGCAACCAATGAGTAAAAATACTTGTAGGAAAGCGTAGTTGCATGGGTAATTTGCCTTTTCTCTAATACTAAAAAATGCAGTGGTAAGAAATCAAATGTATATAAATATTCACATTAGCCTTATTGTTTGCAAAGGCAATCCAGAATTGTTTGTTATATGCTTTGCCAAAGTAGAAATGTTAAAACTATTTTTAATTAATTTGAATTTTATTTTTTTAGGAAGATGAAGCTAAACAGCGTGCCCTCAATGACATGATGGGAGGTGTTCTGGAGGTTAAGAAAGAAGATATTTTAAGAACGGTGAGTGTCATATGGACATCACATCAGTAAAGCAGTGTTTGACACTATGTAGTAGTAACTGGAGTCCAGGGTATTGATATGCATCTTCTCCTGAAGCAAGTGCATGTAGACAGTAAGTGGCTGAAAGAGATTGGATGAGATTGGTAGCATTGAAATGGAAAAAACGATGAAAAAAAGATGAAAACAATATTATATGAAAAAGTTAGCGTTTTTCGTGATACACAGTGCTTGAGCAAACTAAATGTCATCCAGTTAGGGTTTACATCTACATCTAAGTGTAGCTTATTGGAGAACCATCCAGGATTTCTGTATCCAGCATGAATTCACCAGTAGCTATAGAAAGTTGCAGAAATTCAGAACTGTGTAAAACAGGGAAAAACCTGCGCTCTGTGGACTGAAGATACATCCAGGATTTCATATAAGCAGCATGAATCTACCAGCAGCGGAAGTTAGCAGAAAATCTTCCAAATGAACAGAGAACAGCAGAGCTAAAGAAATGACATCCACTCTTCTGAGGACAAAAACAGAGACAGAGAAGTCCCATTGCATGGGTAGCAATGGGGCTGTGGGCGGTGCTATCCAGTGCTGGCTAACAGCCTTTTGTTGCCAGTGTCGATTATCTCCTGCAGGCAGCTGTATAGCACAACAGTCCAGGAATTCTAAGAATTCTTGTGTCCCTCAATGGGTTCAGTTAAAACAGGGGTCCTCAAACAACGGCCCGCGGGCCACATCCGGCCCGCCAGGGTCCTTGGCCTGACCCGTTCGGGTGTCAAGGCCGGGGAGCTGCAGGCCCCTATCTTTACTATCTCCCGGCCGGTCGTTGTAAAAAAACGGCCAGGAGCTCTCTAAATAAGCCACGCCCACTTGTGCGCGCCTTGCGGCGCGTGCGAGCGGGAAATTCAGTCAATTTAAAAACAGGCAGCGATGCCTGTTAACATACAAGCGATCCGCCGGCTATAGAGCCGGCTGATTGCTTGTATGGGCGGTCGGCCCGGGTCCCCCCTCCCGTTGTCACGCTGAGCCCGAGACCAGCATAGTGCCTCTGTCACAGGGGATCAGAGGGAGTTCGGTACAAGACCTCCCTCAGGTCCCCTCTCCACTGTAAGAATGCGGAAGTGATGTATGTTACATCACTTCCGCATTCTTGTGTCGCTCTCCAGCTTCAGAAGCTGGAGAGAAGCTGAAGCTTTGTCAAAAGTTACACATAAAAAAGTCCCCACCCCTACATACACGCATGCAAACATGCGTCGGGTGCGCATACCTGCGAAAACTACGATTGCGCCCATTACGCCGCACATTTTACATATCGCTGCAGATGTTACATATCGCTGCACATGTTACATATCGCCGTGAACATCGCAGTAAGAGCAATAATTTTAGGGCCACTTAACTAATGAGCTGTAAAAGTTTTTAAAGCGTCGCCTATGGTCAATTTTGGTATGGTCGTTTTTCGTGATTTTGCAAGTGCGCACAGCTTTTAAGCTTGACATGTTTGGTATCTATTTACCCGACGTGACCAAGTCTTTTTTGTTTTACCAAAAAATTGGGTGATAATAAATGTTTCCTAACATAATGTAAAAAAAAACTTGTATTTTTTTTACATTTTCTGTAATTTTCCCGAAATATAGTAAAAAAATAAAACCCGCAGTGGTGATTAAATACCACCAAAAGAAAGCTCTATCTGTCCCCAAAAAATTGTATAAAATTCATTTCAGTACAGCGTTGCAGGACAGAATAAATGTCAATCAAAGTACCGCAGCGCTGAACACTGAAAAATGGCCTGGACAGGAAGGGGGTCTAAACACCTGGTCTTCAAACAGTTAAAATAGGTCCAGCTGCCCTAAACAACATATAGCAATCAATCAAATAAAGCTGCCCGCCCACCCGCGGGGTCCAGGGAGAGATCGTCATTCCGCCGGCCCCGTCTGGGTGTCAGGGAAGACACACAGGCTGTTCCGGAAGTTTGGCAGCTTCTGTGTTCGGCCTGCGCGGCTGCGCCCTTTCATCTCAGTGCGCATGCCGAGGCAAACCAAATGCCTTGGTTCCTTTATCAGCGTAACGCCATTCACACCAGAGCAGCAGCAGCTGGAACGCACAGCAATTGCTCACTAACGTTCCCCCTTTGTTCTGGGACGGGAGGGGGCGTGGCGGTGCGGCACCACAGCCACGCCCCCCCTGTTTTTCAAACTATGATCCGGCCCCCAGCAATGTCTGAGGGACAGTGAACTGGCCCCATGTTTAAAAAGTTTGAGGACCCCTGAGTTAAAATTAAGTTTCCTCATCCCTCGCTTCTGCAGGCTTCCTACACGTCGTGGGAACTGTACCCCCGAAGCAGCTCCTTTTCGGCACTCCTTCCATTAATCGCATTCTAAAGTCATCACATACAATGCAGGACCAGCAGCCCTGCATTGTAAGTGAGAACACCGGGGGCCCACCCACAGCCCGGAGCACCAAATGGGGATGGAGAGCACCAGCTACTGGGGGAGTGAGGAATAAGGTAAGTTAAATTGCTTCTTAATGATACCCTAGGCAAAAATTAGCAGAAGGTTGACCAAGTGAACTTTCTACCCCTTTAATAAATGCTTCCCTATATAAACACTATTGCATTGGATATTAATGGAAGTAATGGCGTGATCATGTTTAAAAGTAGCATGAAGGGGTTTAACAGTAACTTCATAGTCTAAAGGTACAAAAATGGTCAGAAATTGCCCTGCCTGGTATTTGTCAATCCTGGCTAATAAATGTTTTTAGTGATAGGTGGAGGTTGTCAGGCTGAGATAGCCTCTGGCTTTATATTTGCTTTTGTTAGGCCAAACAAGATCTCCCTGTCATGATTTCCGACTTTGTACCCTGGGACTCTACAAGGTTTCCGCTCACTTTGGTTTGTTCCAGCACCTCTTGTTGCATTCTCTCTAATATAACTTAAACATCTAACAGGGTGGTTAGTACCCCCTCATAAACCATGTGTGCAAACCCAGAACCACAAGTGCAGAGTTCTTACCAATGGAGTCCCTACGAGGTATAAGGTGGTTTATCTTTTCAGCATCTACCAAAAAATGTAATTACAGTTTTAGGTGTACTTTCAATTTAGCTATTTGACATTCATACCACCTGGTAAAGGTTAAAAGTATTGTTTGTAAATGAAACTAACAATATTTTATAGCGTAACATGTACTGCTTATCTTGTGCCCCGCAGGAAGTGTCACTTCCAGGATTTATGTCCAAGACTGAGGCAGAATGGACTGAAGAGGAGAAAAAGCAATTCAAAGAGTATGATAAAAAATGTAAGGAGCTGAATGAGGAGAAGGACAAGTATAGGAAGGTAAGCATCAAAATCTGCTGTGCTTTTCTTTTTCTGTTGCTGGTTAGAAAAAGGAGATTGTAACCTGCTGGTTACTAGCAGACCCACAATCTAAATCATTACGGAGTTAATAGCAAAGGATGGTCCCTGCCTGTACTGTAATGCTCTGCCACACATCATCTCAGAAAATGGGAATTCCATTTATATTGTTTTTCAAATTTAAATGCTGAAATGACCCCCTTCTTAATCCTGTCATCATGAGAGCTTATAAACTCATGACCAGCAAATTGAGTGTTAGGTGTGAGAGGTTCCATTTGTTGAACTACTTTTGCAGAGATGTAGAGGGTGAATGTAGAAGTGATGATGCTCTTCTTCAACTGCCTTCTCACCAGCATGCTTATCAAGAGATTGACTAGACAAATCTGCAGGTAAACTAGACACTTACTGTGGAAAGAGTGCCATTGTTGGATCAGATATCACTTTGCTGAGTGTTTGTGCTCAGGCACTTTTAATGTGTATGGATTTTCTACTTGTCGTTATATGATAAGTATTGGCATGGCATCTCTACCATTAGAACTGTGTGGAAGATATTCTTGTTCCGATGATGAGTTTCAGGTGTGTTCCATTGTATTTATTATAGTTTATTTTTTTACTTTTAGATTCTAGAGGCAGAAATGAAAAAGATTCAGACTTCAATAATGGAGACTACCCAGGCGTTTGATGATGCTTTGATGAGACTATTTGAAAAGAAGGTGAAATCGGAAATGGCCATTTACCAGGTAGACTTTACATTTGTTAGCATGCAAAAACTAGTGAATTGTAAGAACAACACTCAAACTGAATGAAAATTAGATATCCTTTCTTTAGTATGTGGCAGCACCTAAAAGGTTCAAATCCCAAATTTTGACTCACATGGTACCGAATGAGCTAAAGTGTTTACATCATTAGCATAGCTGCCCACATTAGCACATGCATAATTGTAATGGTGGAAAAGAAGTGAAACAACATGTGTAATTTAAAAGTAAAGAAGGGAATAATAAAAATAATGGGAAATAAAAAAGTGCTCCCTGGGACTCAAAGACAAATTTCAGTGAGTACATTTCATACTAGTGATGCACCGTTACCGGTTTTTCGGTATCGAGTATGAGTACCGATATTTACATTTCGGTACTCGCTCATACCGAGTACCAATACCAGTACTTCCAGTAGCATAGAGCCGGCTTTCTGGGCAATCAGGAAGCCGGGCAGCGTGTTGTTACCCGCTGCCTGGCTTCTTAATTGCTTAGGAAGCCGGCTCCATGCTGTTTGGCCGACAGCATCCCAGCCAATCAGCATGGAGTCGGCTTCCCGGCCAATCAGGAAGCTGGGAGGCAGGTCATTAACCGCTGCCCAGTTTCCTGATTGGCCAGGAAGTCGTCTCCATGCTGTTTTGCTGGCTAAATGCTGTTTGGCCTGCTTCATGCTGATTGGGTGGGAAGCCGGCTTCCCAGCTAATCAGCATGAAGCCGGCTTCCCGGCCAATCAGGAAGCTAGTTATTACCTGCGGCCCAGCTGTCTGAGTGTCCGGGAAGCCGTCTCAATGTTACCTCGTGGCACTTCCAGTCAGAGGATATCTTCCTCTGACCGGAAGTTCTGGTATCGGGGTAAGTATCGGAGCATTTGGGTGAATACTAGTATCGGTGCATCCTTAATTTCTACCTTTTCCATCCTTGGCATAACGAGATGGGACTAACCATGGCATTATTTGCTTCTGACAAAAACACCACTACCTTACCCCAAAGACTGCATTGCTGATGGCCATTGGCATGCTTGGACTTGTAGTTCCTTAGCTGATAAATATGTGTGGGGTACAGTTCTAGTGGATGTTTATATAATATGGGGGGGAGGGGCGAAAAAAATGTTCTGCCCCGGGCGCCCATAACTCTGGTTACGCCACTGCCAGGATGTCCACTTTATTGTCTGACAGGAGGGACAATCCCACACCCAGCGGAATAAAGCTTAAAGCTGAACTCCAGGCAATCTGCTAAATACACCTCGCCTCTCTCAGTGCTGCTTAATAGGGGTTACAGGAAGATACAATCAAAACATATTCCTATACTTACACTAGCTGCAATAAAATAATGTATTTTCAAAAATACAGAACTGCATAAATTAGTGTTTTCTACTTTGTGGAAATGTGCTTTAATGATTTGTTAAAGTTCTAGCCCTTGCGGTTTGTAAACATACTCTGGCAGAAACTTTGCATAAGGCTTTTTGATTTAATAACGGCTGTAGCCATGTGCAAATAAAATACCAGCAAAGGACAGTCTTCCACAAGGAAATCAAATGCAATACGTGCTGAAGAGGAGCTTTCATCAGACTTTCAGGAACAACCTGTAAATCCCAGACTTGACATGGTTTATGTTTTTTAACCCTGACATCCTGTTCAGTGTATCAGATTAAGAGGATTTTAGGTTCAGAAAAGATGAGATAGCCTACTATGCCTTTAGAGGGTTACACTTTTTATCCCTTGTTTAAATCTTTGTTGTAGAAAAAGCAAGATCGAAGTCAGTGAAGGACCAAAATAATACATTAAGCCTTGAAACTTTTCCGTGGATCTATAATAAGCTTGGAACCTACAAGGTCTTTGAGAACTTCTTTTACCCAATTGTCTTGTAAAGTGAGGCCTTTGGATTTAGGGCTGACCTCTCAGGTTTTGCTCTGTCAGGCTGAGGCTCAAAGGGTTTGGTTGGAGCCAGCCCTCCTGAACTAGGAGATATGGTCTTAGGGGAAGAGTCAAATATCAAAGAGACAGCTTTTGTGCAGGAAACCTCAAAAACCAGCATCTCCAAGGGCTGCAGTGATCTTGTCCTCACCGATATTGACCAACAGAAAGGCATTGATTTAAACTGCTGGAAAAAAGTTAAAGGCACAAAATAAATACAAATAGGGGAGCTATTTCACCTGCCAATGGATTTGTATTTCTCTCCATTCAGTCCTAAGATTTACACAACTGTGTCTGGCAGGGCAAGAGACCTGATTTTTCTCTTCTGCAGTTTAGTAATAGTTACAGGTCTTGCTCTCCCCCCAGCCTGTGATTGGAAAGTAAAAGGAGAAGAAGCAGACTTATAAGCTAATCTCCCTGTCATTATGCTCTCTCCTTCTATTAGCATGTGCTATGTTATCACATTGTAGCTCAACTGATTGGATCCTCTTAACACTTCTTACTCTTCCAATCTGAGCTCTGCTGTACAAGGACTGCAAAAGGCAAGTGGGTAGCCCCACTGCAAGGGTTAAGAATAATTGTGCCCAGAGTTTTTCCTTAATGATGTACTAACAAATAGAGTGCTGAATTCATTTGTGTCTTTTATATTTGCCTGGAGTTAAGCTTTAGAGTTGTTGCGCATGTCAGGATCCACTATTATTTTTTCTCTACTGGTAGAGGTCTTGTACGCCCCTTTGTTTTTGAGGCAATAGCTTTTCATTTCAAAATGAGACAAAGAGACCTTTTAAGCTTTCTTCTGATATTTGTCAGACTCTATTATGTATTTGACTGATTTTTTTCTTTGAGAAATAAAATATAAACCTCAGTAGACTGGTCTGATATGAGAAGCAGAGTCTGATACAGACAGTGAAAGAGGTAGAGACCTCCCGTCTAGACTTCTTAGATGCTCCCACTTGCAATGAGGATTTCCTCTCCTGAAAGGTCTGAGCCGTTCCAGACATCATCCAGAAAGAAAATGAAAGCATATGCAGAGAAATGGTGACATCTTGAGGCTGTGCATACATGAGGCATGTTTTAGACAGACTATCAGGTACATGCTGCTGACAAGATATACCATTCCTGTGTTAAAACCTTCTCTTCTTTTTCTTAGAACGTCAAAAGAATAAAGAAATATGCAAAAGTAAATAGAAAGTCATTAGTCTACTTTCATAATCGTACTATCTCCTATAAAACAATTGTTATAACAATTCCATTAATACTTTGAAAGTCCGCCAGGAAAAGAGAGACTGCAGGAATGAAATAGATTATCACCTGGTCTAATAGCATCCTGGATTCAATTATACCCACAGATCATTCAGTCTAAAGTATGTTATCTGGAGACAATTGCTACTTCCATCTGAATCCTAAGCAGAGCTAACCCACCAACGGCTCAGGGCCGTAGCTACCATGAGGCGAGTGAGGCATTCGCCTCATGTGCAGCTGAGAGGGGGCGCAGCCAGGCCCGGCCTAGCTGCACCCCCTCGCCCCTGTTGCCATGGCAAGCACAGGACGCCATGGCAACAGGGGCGAGGGGGTGCAGCTAGGCCGCGGCTCAGCAGAGAGAAGAGGGGCGGCACAGGCTCCAGCTTCTCTTTGGATCCCTACTGCTCTCCCCGCCTGTATCGATAGAGGCAGCAGGGATCCGATGAATCCGATGAAAAATAGAGTGCTGCAGCCGATGGGGGGGCGGAGGAGGGAGCTCTCACCTCAGGATGAAGTGACAGCGCTCCCTCCACCACCCATCCCCACTGGCTTCAGCGCTCCCTCCCCCCCTATGTACTATGTGTCCCCAGTTACGAATGAACACATTTTTATGCTATTTTTAATTTGTCCACCAGCACATTCTGCGCATGCGCACTGCAATCCTGGAGGTGGGCGCAGGACGTCACATGACGCCGCACTTGTGTCATGTCGGGGGACATCACACGTCTGTTGGGGGGGGGCGGCACAATTTTCTGTTCTTGCTTCAGGCGCAATAGGAGCTAGCTACGGCTCTGTACGTTGAACGGCTAGTAACAAGAAAAAGAAGGATGACCAAAAAAGTCACAGAGACCAAACATGGGACAGCACTTGCACATCATACAATAGGGCTAACAGAAGGCAATACAAAAGCCCTTCTGAAATCATACAGGATACCTTCAAGGTACCTGGAAACGATTAGGCCCCGTTCACACTGAGCGATTTATCGCGCGGTAATTCCCGCGATATCGCTCTCCAATGCAATCTAATGGGGCTCTGTCTGTAGCTGTCGCGGGTCGTGCATCGCTACAGCAGGACCCTTTTTTGGAGCGGATTTTGCCGCGATTCTAGCTTGCTCAATGCAAGCATTTGCGCGATATCGCGACAAACGCACGATATCGCGCAAAATGCAAATCGCGCGACAAACGCGCGATTTGCGAATCGCTCAATGTGAATGGGGCATTAATGAGTACTTTAAAAACACAATTGTCACCCATATCAGCACAAAGGGCTGGAAAAGACCTTTGTTTCTGCCTCAGAAGACAATATAGAATCATAAAGCCTCTGCTTCCCCTTTCTTTTCCAGAATTATGCTTTTATATATTCTAACGTGGGCCACTATGCTAGTTAGGTGAATGCCATATATTTTAACCTGTTATATGCTAAGGAGCGTTAGGGGGGTGGGGATTTTTTTGATTCTGATAAGTAGCAGGTAACACAAGGAAATTGTGTTGCACCTGCAGAGTGCAAAAATAAAATTCATAAAATGTATCTAAAGAGAAAGTGCACTTTGAGAAGAAAAATTATAAGCAACCTAATCACTCTTCTTATCAAACTAGCCAATATAAATACATTGCTCATATGCAGACAAGAGACATAGGAGTTGATTACAGTCTTTCCAAGGTTCACCTCGAGTATAAGCCGTCCCGAATATAAGCCAAGGTACCTAATTTTACCACAAAGAACTGGGAAAAAATATTGACTCGAATATAAGCTGTGGGTTTAGAGGTGCCTGCCCGCTAAATTAGAACCCCACCTGGAGCTCCTCTCGCCTGACCAGCGCGCCGCTGACTCATCCCTGCTCCCCTGCTCCTGACTGGCCGCTGCGGGGTTTTTTTTTCTTACCTCGCCGAGCGTCACCCGGAGACTGCCAGATGACCCCGCTCGGAGCGCCGCCCACCGGAGCAGCAGTGACGCGACGCTCGGCGAGGTAAGTAAGAAGAAAAAAAAAAACATAACGCAAGTTCTCGAGGCGCTGACTCGAGTATAAGCCGAGGGGGGCATTTTTCAGCACAAAAAAATGTGCTGAAAAACTCGGCTTATACTCGAGTATATATGGTAACTTAAAGCCTATCGCTGGGAAAAAACACAAAACTTCCCTTGCAGTGGGGTTGCCTCTGCACTGCAAGGGTTACATTTTCATTTAGGTCTAGGGTATCAGAAAAAGCAGTTTGTCTTACCTGATCCTCGCTCCCCTAGCAGTCAGCACTCTCCTTGCTTCCCCTACACTACAGTTTGTGGATTGTCCCTCAGCTTCCTCATTAACAAAGCGGGGCTATGGTCCCTGCCTTGTACATGATGACGTCAGCAGGCCTATGACCATCGGAGCATAGGGGGCAAAAGGCTGTAGGTGCCAGTTTTGTATCCTGGAGGCAGTCTGCGTGAGTGGGGAATCGGGTAAGTTAATTCTTTTTTCAGGTACCCTAGACCTAAATGAGCCATATAAACTTTGCAGTGCAAGAGCAGCCTCGCTGCAAGTTTTATTTTTCTTTCTGGAATTCAACTTTAAAGAATAGAGAAAAACAATAGCCATCTTTTTTTGTTTCTAAAAATGAGATTCACAGATGCTAAATATTATTCCTCCACTGCAAGCTAAAAAGTCATTATATCCAATAATGAGATTTACAGGTCTATTCAATAAAGGGTGAAGCGTTTGGAGAAGGCAGGAGAAGTGAACAATATAGGACAACATAGCTGATTTGGAACAATTCTCCAATTCAGCTCACTTTCCAGTTCAGCTATGTTGTCCTAGATTGATCACTTCTCCTGCCTTCTCCAAACTCTTCACCCTGTTGTGAATAATCCTGTTAGTTTTTCGGTAGAAGCTGGTGCATTTGGATCCCGCACTGAGTTCTTTAAAACTTTAGCAATAACTTCTCTACACATGAAATATTTGTTTGGGGTAGCCTGGCTCTTTAAATAGTGTGAAACTTGAATTAAGTTCCGTCAATAACTCAACTGCTATTTCATTTTATGTTTATTATTCAGGAAGAGCTGAAAATCAGCAATCTTCTATTCTCCATTTTGATTGAAGAAGAGATAAATACCAGAGTGGCACAATTAAACCAGATCCTGGACAGAAAACGAAAACAAAAGGTTAGAAATGCATTCCTTTTACTTCGATGTATGTCTAAAATGAAAAGTAGTGGACGTTTAGTTGGGCTGCGCCATTTATAATTGGCACTGTGGAATTCCCTCAGGCAGCCAGTGGGCCCCTTGATAGCTGTGATCTGAGTTGTCAAATGATGGTCTATTAATAGACATGGTAGCTTTATACCCTATGATCACTGTGATGGCCATTAATGCTATTAAAAACTCTATCAATATTGATACCTTATTATCATTAAACTGCCAAAAATGAAAATATTGCTTCCCAATAGCTATATACTGTAGATATATAAGGCCTCATTCACACGAGAAAAGGCCGGCACGTACAGCGCCGTGCACGGCCGTATCAGGCAACTTCCGGGAAGCACAGGTGCTGCATGTGATTAGTACGCAGCCATGGTCCTTCTCTATGGGAGTACGCAGCCATATGCCCCCCTACGCTCACCTCAAGTGCAGGCCCGTACGGGTGTGGGTGTCCCGGCTCGGACACAGACAGGATCCATCCTGTCAGCGTACGAGTACGCTCACCCGCACCGACACGGACGTGCAGGGCGGGGGAGCGTGGGGCGGCGTATGGCCCGCACAGTCCCATAGAAGGACAGGGGCTGCGTACTAATCACACGCAGCACCTGTTGTTTCTGGGAGCTGCCTGATACGGCCGTGCATGCAGCACGGAGCTGTACGTGCCGGCCTTTTCTCATGTGAATGAGGCCTAAATGTATTACCACCGTTTAAAGAAAATGTAAATCTGCTATCTACTTTTTAACTATAGAATTGGTTTGCGTATGGACTATTAGATTGCTTCTTCATTTGCTGCCTGCTCTCAACTATGTGTGATCGTGACATAGGCTATGCATGTGTAGACTTGATATGCTCTGTTTTAGACCTCCATCTTTGATTTCCCTAGCTGAACCCCTCTCAATCTATATTCTGCATAACTTTTACTATTGGCTATTCAGCTATAACTGTAGGCATATGGGAGTAAAATAGTAAACCCTTCTGTGAGCATTAAAGATGTTAAGAATTTAGTTACATCGGCAGATACAACTTTGACGGGCAGGTGGAATCCTGTATGAAAGAGCAAAGAGTTTACTGTATGTACACCTTCTATAATTTAAATAAGAGGTACTTTCAGACTACAATCTGTGCGATCCGTCCTTTTCACCTTATCCAGATGAATTACAAAATGTAATTTCTAATGTCTTTTTTTTAAATTCTAGAACCAAACAGCTGAACTAGTTAAGACTTTCAAAGCTGAGGTGGAATCTTTCAGAGAGTCCTATGATGATCTAGTGGCAGAAGATAAGGTAAAAGCCATAAGCCTGTCTTCATGTGGACAAGTGTTCTTTCCCAGTTAATATAATTTCAGTTTGTTTTGGTTTTAGTTGTTAGATCGAGGATTTAAGAAAGAATTTTCAGATGTACTAGCTCACCATGTGGACCAGCTTTACAGACTCTACAAGCGAAGACCAAGGTACTTTTTAGTTATGCTTATGACTGAGAAAGCATAATACAGTATATCTGCAGTGCGGCATTTTGCACCCTTTTGTTCAGTCATGGCACCCTTCAAAGGTAGGTTAAAAAAAGACGCACCGCGGTCTATAAAAGTAGAAAACATTTTAAAAAGTTACATGCCCCCCCCCACCCCCCCAAATCTGACATAGTTTTTTCTCCTTTATATCAGAGCCCCCCTCATTTCACATCAGAGTCTCCCCTTTACATCACAGGCCCCCCTTTCACACCAGGAGTCCTCTTTACATTAGAAGCACCCCTTCACATTAGGGGCCCCTTTTTTACATCAGAAGCCCCACTTTTATATCAGTCACCCCCCCTTCACATTAGAGCTTCCTCTTTGCATCAGGTGCCCCCTTCATATCAGAAGTCTCCCTCACATTAGAGTCCTCAGCCCTCCTTTCACACAGTCCTACCATCACATCAGGAAGCTGAAGCAGCATGGTAGAGGGCTGGAGGGGATAGCAGCCTGGATGGAGGCGAACTTCTGTCCTTTTCTGAATGGATCCCACCCTCCAAAGATTAGCATCATTCGTTTTCATGTTGCTTGCAGCATGCCTGCACCATAGAAAGATATGACGGTGTGTGAAAATTTGAAGACATCCCCGAGGAAGTCGGGGACTCCTCTGTTCTGAAAGGCTGCTCTACTGCACAAAGGTAGTCCTTCAGGAGCAGTGATTAATGGTTTATAGCCAGGACTTATTTCCATGTAAGTGAGACAATAGAACCAACCTCACTAAAAGCATAGTGCAACTTAAATTATTGCAAATCAATGATGAGCGGTGGTTCATAATAACCAACTCTACTCTTGGTTTCATGTTTATGAAAAGTGTATAATGGAACTTAATCACATATTATTTACAATGCACTTTTTAAGTGCACTGATTTCATTGCAAACAGTATCAGAGAAAATACATTCAGATATTTTCAAAGCCACATGGCTATTAGTTTTCAAGAAAATACACTGTACTGTATGTAGTCTTCTTGACTATATAAAATAAATATCAAAAGCAGTGGAAACACAGATCTGCCTACTCTTTTATTTTGAATGTGTTATTTTTGTGAAGCCGCATTATCCAACCAATGGCTATGTACTCATTTCTAGAGTTCAACGCCTCAGGACTCAGACAGAAAATGAGGCCCCATTCGGTGAACGTCCAGCATCAGGCAAAACGTACAGAGATTCAATTGCTCCGCTCATGAAAGCAATGGATGAATTAGATGCTCCAGAACACATGCCAGAAGGGCTCGAACTTCCAGTTTGGGAACGTTTCTGTCTAGCAAGGCGGTCTAAAATGGAATATGAACTGCAGGTTGGCAACCCACATTAACATTTACAAACTGCTTATCATTTATTTTCAGCCAGTGTTTGCTTAATATGATGGTTATGATCTCCATATACTACTGCAATATTTGCATGTGTTTGCAACTCTAAGCCAAATCTGTACATCTAATTCAGTTCTCTAACGAGGAGGTGCTTTTTTTTTTAGAGATTATCCACTGACCGACTATACAGTATAATCACTTCACCATTGTTTATTCTACTGTATCATTTCAGGTTTGGTTGAAACTGGCTAAAATGTGTCATGTGATTGTTGTTCCCTGGGCAGTAATCCTTTTTACATTTAAATGAGCTTTCCTTATAGTTATAAATAATAATTCAATAAAACAAAAATTTTCAAAAATGCTGTGATATTTTAGTTATAGGTTTAACCTAATGGACATAAACAGCCTGACTTATTATAATTTGGATATTCCATGTATGAGGTCTCCCTGCTATAGTTCCCGATTGTTTGGATTGACCCTTTAAACCCGGCATGTCAAACCCAAGTCTTGGGACAGGTCACAAAGATGGTCGCACCTTCATTAACATTGACAGATATAAATATTAATTGGGAATATTTAAATACAAACTTTTACTTACTCCAATTCACTGACCAACTGCACATTCTTTAGCTCAATTTAACTGAGCAACACCTTTACTAACTCAAATTCAGTGGCCAACACCCTTTTCAGTTCCCATTCACTTCAGAGCTCTATTTTTTTCAGTGTGAAGTCACTGCCCAATGCTCCCTATCTACCCAACCACCTTTACACTTTTTAAAATCACACTCAGACTGCCACAGCGGCTCTGGTATACACAGGCATGATGTGTATCTTGTTTCACTATACTTCCAGATGAGCAGGCAGCTGTGACAGACAGGTGGTGGGTAAGTACTACCTGCATCCCACTCCGACACCATGGCTGGCTCATCCTCACCACTGGGTCAGTGCTATATTCCCCGCTCACAAAGCCTGCCCGGGAGATTCTCCAGTGGTGTCAAACATGCTGCCTGCCATCCTTGTGTGGCCCTCAAGCATCCTTCTTCAACCATAAACGATCTCCTATGTCTGTTAAATGTCCAGACAGGGGAATCCTCAGTGACCCACAGGGAATGTGCATGTGGACTGCATGTTTGACACCTTTACTATAAGAGGCAATCCAGTCTTAACGGTCCCCATAGCCCTTACTGTAATTATACCTACACTATATGGCACACTTACTTCCCAAAGCGCCATTCTACATTGATGCAATGTCTGTGCTCACCCTTTTTGCTCCACCACCGCCACTGACATCTTCTCCAGGTCTCTTCTGTGCCAGCAGTCTTCAATCTTTATTATTTAACCACAGATGACATGGCTGTGCATATCCATGGGAGTTACTTTATCCTGGCACTCTGCTTTTTTTCTGCTCTGGCTGTGCATCTGCTACAGCCAATGTAGGATTAGAAAAAACTGCTATCAGGAAGAAGACAGACATATGGAGTCTATTTTGCCCTAAAAGCCAACCTGCTAGCAAATTTAATTTTAGTTCCACTTCAAATATTTTTTTTAAATCTTCCATAGGTTCATCTGTTGTTGAAAATTAAACCATTATGCTGGCCATGCACACGCTGATCTTGGGGCAGTTACAATCACTTTCAAACAGTTTTGATTGCAACAAAGATCAAAAATATTAAAGCAACTTATCACCAACTGCCTTGATCTGTTTGATTCTTCAAATACCATTTGTAAATATATAATTATGAAATGTAGAACTGTTGAAATACTGACAACAGTTATGGCTTTACTTGCAAACATCAAAAACTTGTAGGAGAGAATAGGGTAGGATTTTCAACATTTTATTTGTTTATATAATGTATTATGTGTCAGTTATATTAACTGTACTTGTGCCTTCTGCTGGTTTAGGTGAAGCGAAAGGCGCAGATACTGGCTGAAATGCAGGAGTTTCTTTATAAGAGGATAGAAGATGATGAGAAGACACGGCAGGACATTGAGAATATTATGCAAGATCTTAACATGTAACTATAATGTAACATATTAATGTGGTCTTAACATTCTTTATCGGAGCCCATAGCTGAGTGCATGTCTGTGTGTGTGCTTAAAGTGAACCTGTCAATCTGTCCTTTTTTCTTAGTCAGCACTATAGTTTTAGTGTCAGAGGGGAGAACACTTTATCACTACTGAACATGTCCAGGCACTTCCTACTATAGGTCGACAATGTTTCATCCCCATCTCCCAATTGTGCTCCTGCTTTATCACACTGCCACACAGACTACAAGTGGCCATTTCAGCACACATTAAACATGGGTGCTGAAATCTATCCATGGGTCATGGATAGAGTGTATGTAGGTAGACAGGAAGTGGCTGCAAAGAGTCTGCATCGATCAGCAGCACTGGGATGCAACAATGCATGAAAAAAAGTAGTATTGATGAAAATAAATTGTTTTATTACACAGTGCTTCAACAAACTAAATATCATCCAGTTTGCTTTAACATCTACTTAGATGCAAACATTAGTGATGAGCCTAGACGTGTGCAGTCAGCTGGAGAGCAGAGTTTTTGCAGCAGTGTTCTCTGCAAAGAGAACCAAAGATCGAAGTTGAAACTTTCTGGAGTTCCCCTTTAAGACCTCTTCAAGAGGTCTTGTTTTAAACAATCTCACATACTGATTAAATTCTGTCACACCATATGCAGAATAATGGCTTGTGCACACATAGATCACAGATCTGTCTCTCCTTTGTGAGACGGATTGAAGAGGAGGAGGAGCACAGATAGCAGAAGAGAACTGCACAGAGAACTATTATTTTCTTTGTATGGATTGATTTGCTGTAAACCAGGAGTCTCAAAGTACCGACCCGCGGACCAACTCCGGCCCGCGAGCCGGTACTATGTGGCCCGCAGCCAGCTGACACGTCGGGCACACAGTCACAGACCGCGTGCCCGACTTGAGGGAGTAGCTGCACGTTCTGCATCTCTGTCGGATGCAGACCACAGAGCTGCTTCTGTCAGTTCTGAGCTCCGGTCCAATGATGGATGATCAGCAATTGCCTGGCCAGGAAGGGGGTCTAAACACCTGGTCTTGAAGTGGTTAAAGGAAAGGAGGGAGTGTATTATGTGTTCTGGGGGCTTGGGAGGGGGGGAGTTTAATATGTGTTCTGGGGGCTTGGAAGGGAGGGAGGGGGAAGTTTATTATTATATGTACTGGGGGCAGTGTATTAAATGTGTGCGGGGGGCTTGGAAGGGGGGTTAAGTGTATTATGTGTGTGCGTGGGGGGCTGTATTATTATGTGTGAGGGGGGATTCCTGTGTCACAAACTTGCGTTTTCCTGCACAGGAATCCCTAATCCGACATTTACATGCAGCAACTGTCACCCATTCAAGTTAATGATTAGGTGACAGCCGCTGCATGTACATGCCTGCATACCGCATGTAAATCGTATGTGATATGATTACATGCAGTTACAAAAACAATCACTATCCCTGGATAAACAATCAGGTATCCAGGGAGAGTGATTGATTCCTAACAGCATGTAATCATATCACATATGATTACATGCGTTGTGCAGGCATTTACATGCAGCAGCTGTCACCTGACCATTCATTTGAATGCTTGTAACATGTGCATACATTAAAACTGGTACCATATATTGTAGCGGCCCCCACGGGACTAAGAAATGTGTCCAGTAGCCCCCGACTAAATTGAGTTTGAGACCCCTGGTGTAAACCCTCAACCTACATGAGCCAAAAGCAGAAAAATGTTGAAAAAAACATTGCTGTGTTAAAAAACACTGAATTGAAATAAAATAAGTAGGCTCCCATGGCTTACCTCTCCCTTTAAAATGATAGTCGCCTGGCTGTCACTGTGATCCTCTAGCTATAGTACTTTCTGAATCACTGATCTGGAACAAATATGCTGATCCTAACTTCTGATATTACTCTTTCTTGACTCGCTACTTGTTCAGTGTCAGTGACTCAGAAACTATTCAGTCAGTAACAGCCAGGAAGCTAGCATTTATAGATGGAGGTCAGTAACACCATCCTACATATTTTTATCAATACAAGTATCTAATAACAGCAATTCCTGATTGACTCAATATCTTGAGGGCCTGTGTTAAAAGGCTTGTGTTGGCTTCAAATAGATTTTGCATTCCCATACAAGCCTATAGGAACGCAAAACCTGCTTTAGCAGGTCAGGAGAAGGTTTACTGCAGGTTAATTTGACCTGTTGATGAATTCTGAATGATTTCAGAAGTGTTTCACACTGATGCCCAAGCCCGGAGCCCGTCCACACAGGCCCTTATTGTATCAGATAGGGTTAAGGCCTGGTCCACACATGGGCATTTTACAGCGCTGATCGACGCTGTAAAACGCCCAGCAAGTGAAATCCCATTATTTCCTATGGGTATGGTTCCCACCTGGGCGTATTTCAGCGCGTAGGAACGCCCTACACCCAAAGAAGTACAGGAGCTTCTTTGGGGCGTATTTTACGTGCGTATACATTAGGATACAGCTGGATAGCCCTCGTAAACGCGAGTTTGACGCGCGGTTTGTTGACCGCAAATCGCGGTAAACGCGCGACCCGAAACGCCTAAGGGCTTGTTCACACCAAATGCAGACCAGATCTGCATGCGTTTTTGCACACGCAGTGCAGTGGGTTGTGCTGCGTTTTTGGCCGCGTTTTTGATGCATTCCGGGCCGGTTTTGGTAAAATGGGTTTCAGTGTGTTCCAGGGCATTTGCATGCGTTTTTTATGCGTTTGCAGAGCTTTCCAGAGCAGGTAAAATAGGGCTTGCTGCAGTTTTTTTACATGCTCTGGAACTGAACGCTGCGTTGTGAACTAGAGCCCAAAATACAATTGGAATACATTGGCTGCAGTTTTGATCCGGTCTGCAACTGCTCTGCTCTGCACCTGCTCCGCGCTTGGTGTGAACAAGGCCTCATTCAATAGGGAAATACAAGGGCAGTAACAACGTTCAAATTAAGCCATAGCAGCCCATGCAAATGAAACATTCACTGATATAATTAAGGTACTACTGGCCACGGTATTCTTTTTTTAATTAGCCCAACAATAATTCTATTGACTTATAATAATAGTTTTTTTCACATCTTATCATTGCAGTCTACGAAATGCAAAAATGAAGTTTCTGTTAGATTTGACCGTCCAGTTCATACTTAAACAGGGACAAGTGGAAGTGGAAAATTCAGATTTAATGCCTAATTTTGCTGATGCGATACTGCTGCACAGGAATGTCATTGAAGATTTGAATAGCAGCATACGGGTAAATGACAATCCTAATATGAGTGCTTGTCTGTGGGGTGTGAGGATGATTTCAAGGTGTTCTTATCTGCTTGGGATTCATATATGTGATGTTGAAGCCCAACTCGTTGCAGATTTTTTTTTATTAAAGAGTTTAAAACAGAAATGCTGCTCTGGCTGCAATACTCACCACCTCTTGAGTGCTATCCCCCACAGTAATTCCCTTCTGCCACTAGATATCATCGGTGTTCCGAGCTGCTTGTGACTTCAGAGCGTCATGGACCCGCCTCCTGATGGGGTGTCACCATGGTGCTTGTACTCACATCAGCACCGATTTCTGTATCATTGAGGACTGCCCACCAAGAGAAGTCATATGTGTGACACACGACCAGCCTAAAGACTGTGGGGGAAGCCTCTAGCTCAGAGTTGAGCTTTATGGTATTGTTTTCCAGCATGGTTTTAATCTTTTTTTTTGCCCGTTATATTCCAGGTATATAGGAAATAAATATATTGTTCCCTTTTCATATATATGGAGGTTCTGGCAACCAAATTACAAAAGAGTTATCAAAGGCAACTTACAAGTACAACTTGCATATACACAGTATGATCCCATAACACTAACTGTTTTATTTTCTTAAACTGTCCCATACATTTACCTAGGGCCTGGGAGAACAGAAAATTGCCATCATGGTGGAAAGCAAAGATTTCCGTAAAGGAATCTTTCAGCTTGAGTGGGAACACAAGAAGATCCAAATGGAGATGGAAGACTTGAAAAAGAAATCTCGGGACATTACGATGCTTCGTGTGACTAAAGACATTCAGACCGTATGACACTTTCAAAATACTTTTTATTAGGATTATTTAGAAAATAACAAAGTAAAATATCTGTAAATTATTATATCTATTATTTAAATGGAAACAGGCAGATCTAACGATTTCAGTGTTTAAAACTAGTTATATCGTACCATATTTACAATCAATGAATGGAGCAAAGTCTGGAATTTAGGTGATACCCTTTTATTGGCTAATTTAAAGTTACACTAAACTCAGGAGTTAAATCTTAAAAATGCATTCAAGTACCTTAGCTATTAAAGGAGAACTATGAGATGAGTGATTTCCACTCACCTCATAGTTCTAGCCGACCTGTGACAATGAGACTGTCACAGGTCGGCTCAGTAGATCAGGAGGTGAGCGAACAGATACCGGCGTTCGCTCACCTCTCGATCCTGTCACGGCTCTCTGCCGTGACAGGGGAGGGGCTGGATTCCCCCCTCCCCGCTCCGATCCGCCAGCGCTGACTGGCGGAAAGGACAGGGGGCGGGTACAGCTGGCTCTGCCTCTAGATAGGCAGAGCCAGCTGTCACTCACGCAGCTGGGCAGATCTCAACATCGAGCTGTAGCTCGCGGTATACTGAGCTTAGGGTAACGGGAGGACGCTAGTTTGTGTCCTCCCGTTACCCTAAGGAGAACTATGGGGAAAAGCTCTGACCCCATAGTTCTCCTTTAACAGAAATGTATGTTATTTGTATATCACTCAGCTGTAGATCCTCAAATCATCTCTGAGTTGTGATGTGATAGCCGTCAGCTTGCAGTGTGGCCACTTATGATGTGATAGCCGTCAGCCTGCAGTGTGGCCAGTTGTGATGTGATAGCCGTCAGCCTGCAGTGTGGCCAGTTGGGATGTGATAGCCGTCAGCCTGCAGTGTGGCCAGTTGGGATGTGATAGCCGTCAGCCTGCAGTGTGGCCAGTTGGGATGTGATAGCCGTCAGCCTGCAGTGTGGCCAGTTGGGATGTGATAGCCGTCAGCCTGCAGTGTGGCCAGTTGGGATGTGATAGCCGTCAGCCTGCAGTGTGGCCAGTTGGGATGTGATAGCCGTCAGCCTGCAGTGTGGCCAGTTGGGATGTGATAGCCGTCAGCCTGCAGTGTGGCCAGTTGGGATGTGATAGCCGTCAGCCTGCAGTGTGGCCAGTTGGGATGTGATAGCCGTCAGCCTGCAGTGTGGCCAGTTGGGATGTGATAGCCGTCAGCCTGCAGTGTGGCCAGTTGGGATGTGATAGCCGTCAGCCTGCAGTGTGGCCAGTTGGGATGTGATAGCCGTCAGCCTGCAGTGTGGCCAGTTGGGATGTGATAGCCGTCAGCCTGCAGTGTGGCCAGTTGGGATGTGATAGCCGTCAGCCTGCAGTGTGGCCAGTTGGGATGTGATAGCCGTCAGCCTGCAGTGTGGCCAGTTGGGATGTGATAGCCGTCAGCCTGCAGTGTGGCCAGTTGGGATGTGATAGCCGTCAGCCTGCAGTGTGGCCAGTTGGGATGTGATAGCCGTCAGCCTGCAGTGTGGTGTGTGATTTAGCTTCCAATGGTAGCACATTAAGGACGGAGTCCACTCGCTTACCACGTCTTTTTAAGGGCTTCTTTGCCCACTTTTATTATTTCAAACATAAAAGTCCACACAGGTGTTTCCCTCGCAGGGGTCTTCAAACACAGTACAGCAAAATAAGTCCCTCCATCTTCAGGTTATCACAAAAAACCTCTCCCAAACAGGCTGCATCCCACAGACTTGCCTTGGTGGAGCCCTCCTGACTCCTGGACAGACACCTCCCTTGTCTTCCAACTGGAACCCCTGAACATCAGCCAGAACCCTTTTCATAAGGGCTGTGCACAGGTGTGCAATCATTCGGTGCTGGTCACCACTAAAGCCCGGACCCAGGAATGGAGATTTCTTCCCTCCCAGTTCTCTTAGCAATCTCCCGGCTCCAGGATCCCAACTATAATCCAGAAAACCCGTATTGAATTGTAAAGCCAGCTCTTTCCTGGTAAAAGTACATTCCTGAAGCCGCTCAGCCCCTCTTGCTGGGAGTCCTGGGTGACTTTGATGCCACATTATACCGTGGTATTGCCACGCAATGCCACAGTGGCCAGTTGTGATGTGATAGCCGTCAGCCTGCAGTGTGGCCAGTTGTGAGGTCTATGCACATGCTAATAGTTATGCTAAAAAATATAAATAAAACAATTATATTTCTAATAAAGTAAATATGTAATAATTATAAATATAAAATATTTCTCATTCATATCCACATTCCCAGCCAGCAGATAAATCTCTAGGTTTCCTTTTACATATTTACCAGGTTTAACTTAACTGCTTTGTTGAAACAAAAGCCTGTGTATGAAGCTCAATAGCTAAATGGTAGAGTTATACACACAGATAAATGAGTCAAAGAAAAGGCAAACTCCCCTTCTCTCCATGCTCTTTTCATACAGCCCTATTCATATTTAAGTATAGAAAGTCAGTGTGAAACAGCTTCTGCTATATTTCCTTTTTAGAAAATCCATATTTCTTGGTAGTATTGGTGTCAAGGGTGCACCCTGTAGTAAAGGTGTACTTGTAAAATAAAAATGCTTATTTTCCAAATACACTAATAATCATAAACAAAGCAGCTAAAAAAATAAAATGGATCCAAACCCTTTATCTTTTCCCTTAAAGGAGAACTATGGGGTTAGGGCTTTTCCCCATAGTTCTCCTTAGGGTAACAGGAGGACACAAACTAGCGTCCTCCCATCACCCTAAGCTCAGTATACCGCGAGCTACAGCTTGCGGTATACTGAGACGCCGCAGCTGAAGCGGATCCCAACAATTATGTCTGGATCCGCCCAGCTGTGTGACTGACAGCTGGCTCTGCCTATCTAAAGGCAGAGCCAGCTGTTCCTGCCTCCGTTCCGCCAGTCAGCGATGGAGGATCGGAGCGGGGAGGGGGGAATCCAGTCCCTCCCCTGTCACGGCAGAGAGCCGTGACAGGATCGAGAGGTGAGCGAACGCCGGTTCGCTCACCTCCCGATCTACTGAGCCGACCTGTGACAGTCTCATTGTCACAGGTCGGCTAGAACTATGATGTGAGTGAAAAGCACTCACCTCATAGTTCTCCTTTTAAACACACAACTGCATTTTAGTACACTGCACAGATCAACAGATTCTGCGAGGGATCTGTTATTTTTCCAGCATAGGTCTGAAGCAAGGAACGCAAGCATTTGATTGTCTATTACTAACGTGTCTAATGTCCTATGAGTATTCTCTGTAACATAAGCATACTACATTTGAACATCCCAAAAAGCCACAGATGCTGTAGCATGTACTAAATTTAAACAAAGGTTATTCTTGGAAGATAGCGATGAATGCAATCCTGCGGAAAGTAATACAGACTTGAAATGTTGTCTATTGTCCATCGTCTGTTTAGTCAACAGGTATTTCTATTTTTGTTGTTACACAGTTTCTCAATGAATCAAATTATGACAGGCGCTTAGCTAACCAGATACTGGTCCTGGAAGAGACTATCAATGTCGAAGAAAAGGTACGTTTAAAAGGGCTAAGTATTTTTCTATGAATAATTATGTAGAAGCTCTCAGTGGGGCTGGACAAGTCCAGATGAATGTGAATAACTACAACTATCTATACCAGTGGTGGCGAACCTATGGCACGCGTGCCAGGGAGGGCACGTGGGGCCCTCTCTGCTGGCACGCAAGCCCAGGTTCAGGGACCACCAATGGAAATAGATCCGACCGACCCGGATCGCCTCAGTACGCGATCCGGGCCAGTCACAATCAGGCAACGGC